GGCAACATCACTGACATGTGTCAGTAGATTCTCAGAACTACTACCATTTGTTTTATTTGAACTTAAAACATATTGATATCACACTTCTCCAGTGCTATTTCTTTTCCATATAATTTTCAATCGATCTACATTTCCAGCGCTGAAGAGCACTTTATGTTCAGTCTCTCCCTTCAGTGCTGTGGTGACAGAGGATGTTTTCCAGATCAACAAGTTGTTGCATTTTGCTGTGGATGAAACAAGAATAGAAAATTCCCATCACCGGTCAATATAATCTTGTGATCAAACAAAGCTGTAAGATTACCTGATAACTGTACCTATTTTAAATATACAGATAGATTCAAAGAAGGGTGGGTGTTTGTTCCTATTCTTGGCTATGAACATATGAACATAAGAATTGCTAGATGAAAGAAGTACAAGGTCCATCCAGTTTTGCCTTCCACCATCCTGGCAGTCAATTGCACTTGTCATGCCCCAAACTGTATACTATATCCCAAGATATTATTTCCTAAAAGAAATTATGCTTTTGAAAGAATCGACACTTTCTACTTCCACCGTCTCTCTAGAGAGTATGTTCCATACATTTAATACTCACTCACTGAAATAGTGTTTCCACAGATTTGTTTTGAATTTAGCCCCTTCAATCATAGGTTCTACTCTTCTGGGCAGGATAAAACAGTTTATCATGTTCCACATTATCCAGTCCCTTTAGAATCTTAAAACCCGCAATCATATCTCCATATCCCTCCGTTATCCAAAGTCCCTCACAAACATTCAGAATAACTAGCAATTTTTTAAAGTTGTTGTTTATGGGACGTTGCTAGAACAACTTAGTTGCCGTAACTGCTAATATTCAGGAATGTTTATTTCTATAGCACCTTATGTTTAAAAGACACGATAAGACACGATATAAAATGCAAAGATTATTATTGTTATAGATGTTTCCATGTGTTTTTTGATCAGCTCTATTCCATTTAATTCTCTTCCGCTCTATGTTTTTGTTGCTGGAAAAGGAGTTTATTTTCAAAGTCTCCCCTTTCAGGACTGCCAAAGAATCAGCTCTTTGCATTTTCCTCAAAGAAAGGCATGCAGATAACAATTTGTTACCTCGTAGACGATGCAGAATTATGGTCTCAATGCTATGCTTGAAAGTCACAGCTCAGCCTTTGAAAATTAGAATTGAGTCCAATTTGATAGGAACCAAATAAGCATCTCAGCTTAAATAAAGTCAAGCTTCTTGAAAGCATTGAATTAGAGGTCAGAAGGGTAACTAGCCTGCCCTAGAATGTTGATGTGTATATTGAGGAGTGAAGTTAGTGTAGGTAAGAGTTGGTTAGATTTGTGCGTAAAATGAATCTTTGAGTAAATGAAAGAAACAACAACAACAACAACAAGATTCCATTTATAAAGCGCCTTTCACGTCAGGAGGACGTCCCAAGGCGCTGCACAGTTGGGTCATGACCCGAGCAGGGGGGAAATGGTCAGGGTGAGGGGAGGGAAGGGAGGGAGCGAGGAGGGGGGAAATGGTCAGAATGAGGGGAGGGAAGGGAGGGAGCGAGGAGGGGGAAGAGAGTCGAGAGGGGAGCTGAAGGCTCGGTCAAAGAGAAGGGGGGATCACAACAAGAATGTGATGTGCATCAAAGGACATAAAAGGATATCAAGGTTTAATAATGCCACTAATAATAATCCTTGTATTTGATGTAATGCCTTTCATATTTGAGAGAACAACAAAATTACATTTAATGTCTCAAAGTGCTTCATAAGGTATACTATAAAGTGTAGTGACTGTGCGTGTTTTACAGTAATTCAGACCTTGCACTAAGAGAGAGATAAAGCATATGTGGATGAGCCATCTGAAGGATGTTGGTATGTGGAGTCACCAGGAAAATAATGATTAGGGTTGAATGATGAGTGTTAAGCTCTCTTACCTGCACATGTGAGAAAAATGTGTAGCAAAATGGAAATGCATACTCCACTCATTCTCAGCAAAAATATTATCCGTAAGTTCTTTTTTGGTCAACCGAGTTTAAAAAAAAGCAAGTTCTTTTTCTGAAAATAAAGAGAAAGGGCACAAAAAGAGAAAGGGCACTGCTAAGAATTTTCTATTTCACAAAAAATCAACTTAATAAAAAGACAGAATCGAAAAAGAGCTAAACAGTGATATAACGACTGCTGATTACAGTATGGGTCTTTTCAAAGGCCTTTAGTGGTGTATTGTACTTGCAATAACCTGAATCCAATTACTGTAAACATCTTACATTCATCATTTTGTGGCTGTGTATCTTTAGACAATGTGGCAGCCAATTTTCACACAGCCTGGAAGTGAATGAACAATTTTATCTGGGGGATTGTTGGCCAGTATTCCATGGGCAGCTTGAAATAACTTGGTAAATAAGATCAATTTCACCATTGTTTTAAACTGTAAGTAAATCATCACATCAGTCACTCAGTAAAATCCCCAGTGACAAGTTATTTTATGATCACGTTTATTTAAGAAAGAAAATTCTGGAAACTTGCTAAATCCTCCCAATAAAAAAAATGTTCATTCACTTCACGGCTGTTTGTAGGATATTGCTTTGCGCAATTGGGATGGCACATTTGCCTTCAAATTCACAGTCACTCTACTTCACTGTAAATCATTTGAATGCTTTAGGACTCCTCCTAATGTGAAAGGTGCTATACCAAATGCAAGGGTTAGTATAATTTTATTATTAATAATAAGTATCAACCTCTGCTGCACATCAAATAGACACCTTTAATTATTGAAGATGGAGTAGTTGAGGTTTTAAGTTTTTTAAGGTATGAAAAATTGTTTGTTAATTTGAAGAATTTAAATTTTATCAGTTGCATTTCATAGCACCCAGTGTTGGATGCTTTAGCTTTGTGTGAACTTCTACACAATCTCTTGAGATGGGGTTGAAACCACAACAATCTTATCTACAGGCAGAAGTGCTAACATTTGAGCTAATCTGACATTTATGGCTGAAGTGTAATTAGAAGTTACTGGGTACTAACAGGAAAAGGCTCTTTGAAGCTGACCACAGCCAATATATCTTTGCAGGAGAGGATCTCTACAGTTTATGCAAACGGGCAGCTTTAAACCATCCAGTGAGTTTGCTGACTTTTTCACACGCAATGAAACTGTGTGAACATATATATAGTAACATTGGGTATAAAATTCGCCCACAAAATATACAGTCAATTCGTTTTACAGTATATTCTGTGCAGTGCATGGAGATGTCTCAAAGACATGATAAGGCACTATGTTAAATGCAAGGATTATTAAATTGCATATGTATGATGAAGGGGAGATGCGGGTTGATAGGGTAGAAACATTTCTTTATGTGACAATGCTTCTTTCAAACCTGCAGTAAATTAAAAACCTTTAAATAAAGCCTTGGTGCTGAGAATGAAAGATGAAATTCAACCTGGTCTCTGGCTGCCAGGCCAAATTTTTCCTTAAAAATTCTGATTTTACAGAATAGTGGAAAATTCTTCAATTCACAATTTGGAAGCTGGTTCTTCACAAGAGGAAAAAAACAGCTTCTAAGGTAGGACTGAATTTTAGAATTTTCTGCAAAATTTTAAGACAAAACAGTCAAAATATAAGGACAGTTAGGTGGGAAACGAGGTGGAATTTCAGGCCTCTTGTTAATAAAGTCAGATCACCATCGAAAGCAAACACTTTTTCCCTATTTATTATTACAACAACAACAACTTGGATTTATATAGCGCCCTCCACACCGGACGGTGTCTCAGAGCGCTTCACAGTAATGGATCCCGGGGCCGAGTCAGGGGGAGGGGGAGGAAAGTGACCAAAGGCTCGGTCGAAAAGAAAGGTCTTCAGCCGAGAGGTTGAACCAGGTTAACGAATCTCTGTGTAACATGGAGACTGACGAAGACAAAGGTCATAAGATGAACATATTTCTACCAAGAAGCATTGAACACGTTAAATAGACCAGAGCTAAAATAATTAAAAATCAAGTATGATATTTCAATCCAGTGTTCTGTGCCAAATAATAATATAATAATAATTCTTGCATTTGATATAGCGCTTTATCATGTCGTTGAGACACCTCAAAGGGCTTCACGGAATACACTGTAAACTGGATTGAGTATTTGGAGGGCGAAACGTGGCAGCCAATTGCATACAATAGTGTCCCACAAGCATTCATGGATTTAGGGACCATTCACACCCATTGCCCCAGGCATGAAAATATACAGATAAAAGGCCAAACAAATTGATCAAGGATCAATGTCTGCGGGAAATAAAAGTTCCACAAATGTTGAAAATATCAACTCTCAAGGATTAACTCACTATTTATGCTGTCTGAAGTGTTATCTCCAAGTGAAGCGCTATATCCCAATGAAGAACTGCCTCCCAAATGGACATCACCTGGGAGTCTGCCTCTTGTACTCGAATATGCCTGAACTGTTAAAATCACTTACTGAATCACACTTCATAAATCCTGTTGTGATACCACTTAAACATCCAGTATAAAAAAAACTATCTCACAATCCACAACTGAACTGAGGACTTAACGTGAAATAAAAAAAGACAAATTTAAGACCTGCTGTCACACCAGTAAATACTAGTAAATAACTATCTCAGTAAATACTGTTACCACTTCCTTATTTGGAGATAGATTTTTTTGAAAATATATATTTATTTATAAATATAATATTTGGTCAACAGAAATCCAAAACAAACACAACGTGCAACATCTTCTGTTACAATTTTTCCCTTCTCTCCCGATACAAAAAACACTCCGTTGTTTACGGTACATTCCTTCACCGCACATAGGTTGTGCATACGTGTTTGGGAATCTCTCTTTAAAACAGTCGGGAGTCGCCACTATACAACAACAACAATATTACATTTATATAGCACCTTTCATGTTGGGAGGACGTCCCAAGGCGCTGGATGACAGAAAGAGTTTCAGACCCGAGCTGGGGGTCGGGGAGGGTGGAGGGCAGGGGAGGAAGCAGGGAGATCGAAATATATATCTAATATATATTTATATGTAATGTATACACAGATGGATGGACAAAGTGCTCACCTCTGTCTGCCAAGAAACAAGCTCTCTCTCTGACTGTCACAAGCAGTTCATGGGTGACAAACTTGAGGGAGTTTTTACATCCTCTGCCACTACCCCCTGGTTCACATTAGTCAAATCACAAAAATTCCCCCAGCATTAAATCTACCTAATCCCACAAGACGGGTCAAGGTTAAAGCAAATCACGTTTCCTGCACTGTATTTTTAAGCCATTTAAGTATGGTAATATGCAATACAATTTACAGTGCAATTCACATTTACATAGTGTCTTTTCCATGTTCATGTTCGGAAGGTGTCTCAAACCACTCGACAAGAAAACAGTTATCATATAAGACAATGAAATTGAGGCTTATGTGAAATAAAAAGACCAGAGTAAGACTTGCTATCACGTTAGGACAGTAACTCTCAATAAGTTCTTTGATTCATTTTTTATCTGGACTCAACAGAACTTTGCATATTTAAGAGGGAAGTTTCTTTCACTTGCTTCACTTGATTGGGGCACCTCATTTAGAAAATAAGACAGCTCTGGAGGTAAGGCAAAACCCAGTCACCAAAGTAACTCCATTCCATCTATAAGATCCTCAGGTCAAATCTTTTTTATTATTTTTTTAAAGGAATTATTACCCCGAAAAAGTGATCGACCAATCGGTTAACAACCGGGTTCCTACTTACTACTAGGTAAACGAGGCGTGTGGAATAAGGAAACTTGCTCAACATTTTGCCCTGCCTGGAATCGAACTTGTGTCTCTTGCTTACGAAGTGAGTGCTCTAACCACTGAGCTACAGTTGCTTTGAAAACAACCACCATACTAGATAAGGTTTGAGTGCCCTTTCTATGTTGAGGAGTATTTCTTAGATCAATGATGGCCACGTCTTATCCAAACTAGTGCAAATGTTCAGGGGAGCGCTCCTTGATGGCTCTGTGGGCTCACTGGTTGGTTACCACTTTCTTAGACTGACCCAGATACTGCAGTTAGCAGCTTTTGATATAGCTCACAGGGCATTTACCTAATTCTTCGAAGACTACATTGCTGTGGGTCGTAATGGAGATAGTTGTGGTGTAATAAAGTGGGTTACTGAAACCATTCAGTGCTTCTTTAAAACAATGAGCCTGACAAGAGAGAATAGAAGGGAGTTTCTCCTGGTATTCCTGCAAACAGTATTCCAGGTGAATTGTTCCGTCCCCTTATGGCTGCTTGTTGGCTGCTTGCTGTGTGCAAACCAATTGGAATACATGATCAGTTACTATACTTGACAGTAATTGTTGTAAGTGCTATGAGATGTTCTGAATTGATAAGACACTATAAAAATGCATGTCCTTCCTTTCTTAACATCCTCTGTAGATGACTTATCAGCCAGCTCGCCTGAAAGCAGACGACATTCTAGAGAGAATACAAGACAAGAATAGGCCCTTTGGTCTCGTCCTTCTATAATGCCCACCCTTCTCTCTTCCCTTTACAGCAGTAGGCTGTAATGTAAATGGTCTCCAGCACTTTCCTTGTAAACCGTTCCAGCTGTTCTACATTAGGATACGCCAAGAGAGTAGAACACAACAACAACTTGTGTTTTTATAGCGGCCCTTCATGTGGGTAGCGTCACGGTGTAAGTAACAACAGCAGCGTGGGTTGATGAGGCATCATAGGTTTAGAGTTGTAAAGGATAATTGCAGGACAGACACAAGGAAGGTTTTTTTTAACAATCCAGAGAGTAATCAATGACTGGAAAAGGTTGTCAGGAAGCGTGGTAGAGGCCAGGACACTGGACTCATCTTAAAAAAGCAGCTTGATGCTGTGATGGTAGGGTAGGTGTTCGGGAGAGATGAAATCGGATGTGCCGAAGGGCCTTCTTCAACCAAATCAAGCTTGTGATCTTGTGACACAATGAGCCGAACAACCTTGTTCAAATCTCTTTGGTTTTATCTGGCCCAAAGGTCACCCTTATATAATAATAATCCTTGCAGTTGATATAGCTCCTCATCACATCTTTGAGATGTCTCAAAGCGCTTCACAAAATATACTGTAAAGTGAATTGACTGTATTTTTGGCAGAAACGGTGCAGCCAATTGTGCACAGCAGTGTCCTACAAACAGTCATGGATTGAGTGACCAAATTATTATTTTTTTTAAATTTTGGGGTGAGGTCTTATTACCCATGAAAAGCGATCCGCCAATAGATCAACAATTGGGTTCTTACTTACTACTAGGTAAATGGAGGCATGTGGAGTGAGGGACCCAGGTTCTCTTGCTTGCGAGGCGAGTGCTCTAGACACGATGCTACAGGACTCCACATATAATAATAATAATAATAATCCTTGTATTTGATATAGCGCTTTTCACGTCGGGAGGACGTCCCAAAGAGCTTCACAGAACACACTGTAAAGTGAATTGACTGTATATTTGTGGGCGAACGCGGCAGCCAATTGCGCACAGCAATGTCCCACAAACAGTCGTAGATTGAAAATGACCAATTTATTATCGTTTTGTTTTGGAGGGTTTATTATTAGGTGTGTGGAGTAAGGAAACTTGCCCAAGGTTTCGCCCTCTGCCTGGAATTGAACTCAGGTCTCTCACTTGCAAAGTGAGTGCTCTAACCACTGAGCTACAGGACTCCACAAAACCCACTTTGACCCAGTCTCCTGAGAGATTGTTGAAGTCAGGTTTGACGGATTTGATTCAGAGTTCACAGAATGAAAAGAATGATCCCCACCCCCCCACAAAAAAAATAATCCATAGTGTCAAACTGGAAAACAACAGAATAATCCTTAAATAAATAAAGCTTTGGCAGCGAGGAGCTTGTGTTATTCAAATGGAGAGCCAGAAAAATTTTGCAAGTACCCGTTCCAACCTTAAAGATTATTAAACGCTGTGGGACAGCCTTTCGACATGAAAGGCACAATAGAAGTATAAACTTGTATTGTATCATTGAGTATCTAGAGTTAGAGATGATTTACACTACTTTACTATTCTTATTTTACTATAGCAATGTTTTTGGAAACATAAAACTAAAACAACAAACTGTTACCAAAATATTATGGCTCAAGAAAGGTTAATTTAATGAAAACCACATCACTTCATACTTCTAACGGAAACTCACTGTACGATTTCCACCCACTGAACAAGACCATAGTAACGTTTTGTTGTCCTGCGACTGTTAATTCCTCAGGAAAATGACTTTGCTTGATACCTGTTCTGCCATGTGGATATTCATCATGGTTTTCTTCGGTAAGAAAGTTTGATTCCCTAGGAAATGTTAGTAAGGTTGTGATGTTAAAGATACAGGAACACTGCACTTTAACGTGTAAAGATATTTTCTGGTTAAACTGTGAGCGAGTGCATGTGGTCAGAGGATTGTAATTGGGTCATTAACATTATGGCTGTTTATGGATCTTGCTGTATTCAATTTTGTTTGCTTACAGATTACACAGTCACTGCACTTAGCAGTATATCCTGTGAAGTGTTTTGAGGCATACTCCTGACGTGAAATGCGCTATATCAAATGTAAAGATTATTGTTACCATTGTACGATTTGACTAAGATTCTTGGCATCAGTTACCTGAACACTATACAGTCTGCTGAAGCAGAGTTTTGACATGTTAGAAAATACTAATTTTTTTTAATTTGAAAGTGGGCTCTGGCTTTGCAGTAAATAATCCTATGAGTCACTTTACCACTTGTGAGACAGTCATCACTTTGTCAATCACACTTTGACCAACATGTTTCTCTTGTTATCGGTATTAAAATCCAACAAAGAACGTTGGAAACTTTGGGGCTGAAAACCAACTCAGCCTGAAAACAAATGCAGTCTGAACTCGCTTAACAGCCAAGGAGTATTTGCAAGCATTCTTTGACCCATTAATATTGCTCTAGATATAAATCGACCTAGATATAAATGATACTCTTCGACCATGCTTTCAGTCATCATTTCCCTCCCCATGACTTCCACCCCCAGCTCGGGTATCCATTCAGCACTGTGAAGTGCTTTGAGACAATCTCCCGACATGAAAGATGCTACATAAATGTAAATTGTATTTGTTGTGGAGTTCTATAGCTTAGTGGTTAGAGCACTTGCCTCGCAAGCGAGAAACCTGGGTTCAATTCCCGGCAGGCCGAAACATTGGGCAAGTTTCCTTGCTCCACATGCATGATAATAATCCCTCAAGAAAAAAAATAATTTGGTCACTCAATCCACGACTGTTTGTGGGACACTGCTGTGCGCAATTAGCTGCCGCATTTCGCCCACAAATATACAGTTAATTCACTTTGCAGTATATTCTGTGAAGCGCTATGAGACGTCTAGAAGACGTGAAAAGCGTTATCTTAAATGCAAGGATTGTTATTATTATTGTGCTGATGATCTAATTCTGAACCTATCGTCACAGCAACAGGCAAGACTTGTGTTGGGACCGTTGAAGAAAAGCTGAGAGTGTTAGCCTTTATTTCCCATTTATTTGGGTAAAATTTGTGGTGTTCGGTTACACCTTCCTTGTAATAATAAACCCGAGAAACACGTTACAAAATACCACAAAACATACCCGTTTTCTCGAACACAGTTCATGTAAGTCAAAAAACTGCTTCACGTTTACTTTCCTATCAGTCATCAGCCCAAGATTTCTGACAATTTACCTATTAAGCTGATTTTAAACCATAATTTCAGGCTCTGTCACCAGACTACTTCAGATATTGTCTGCTAAAATGAATTCAGTATCTTTGCCAGAGCCAATATCAATATTGTGACAATTTAAAAGCAATTGTCTCAGCCATTATATTCATACATAAAAGAAAACATGGGAACGCAGTGTGCGTCCCTCCAGGGAGACAGTGTGCATTCCATTCCAAACAGAGAAATTCCTATGGCACACATTTGTGAAACTTTCTGCTTTGAACACTCTTAAGCATGGAGATGGATTTGCTAAATACTAGACGAATATATTCTGTGCTACATTCTTAGTAAATCTAGATGTCAACGCTCTTGTCTCTGAGTCAGAAGGTTATGGTTTCAAGACTTTGAGATGCCTCTGCTGTGTGTGGCTGGGGTCACCCTACATTGTCAGAAGTGCCGTCCTTTGGATGAGACATTAAACTGAGGTCCTGTCTGCCTATTCACGTTAAAGATCCTGTGCCAATATTTGAAAAGAGAAGAGAGTTTCTCATGGTTTCAAAGTTCCCCAAGCCCAAATTAAGGCTCCTTCTGGACATCATACAAGTCACTCTAACTCGTGAGAACTTTACTCAATAGATTGAGTTGGTGTAGTGTTATTGCAAGCCATTGTTATGGACTTACATTAAGAAATTCATTAAAAATAACGTGAAATATAACAAGGTACAGTAAATTGCCTTTAGATAGCTTTAATTCAGTCTCCAGTGTAAACCTGCATCCTCCCAACGTGAAAGGCGCTATACAAATGTAATTTTGTATTGTAGTCAAAGTATTGATTAACTTTGTGATTTCCATGAAAAAGAGCTGGCAGGTTGTCAAGACTGGGTTCTACAGGAGCCAGCGGTTCTTCGAGTTTTAAAGGGGCAGAGTGCTGAAGTCACCTGTTCATACAAAGGAGTTGAGGCTGAAATGATTGCAGTTTCCTGGAAGCGGAATGCATGGAACAGCCCTGTGTGTAGAATCCTGTATGTGAATCACACACAAATACTGTCTCCTGCGTGTGACAGCCGAGTGAAGGTCGCCTGGAACACAAGTGCTAATTTTATACGTGTTTCCACTCGAGATGTCCAAGTGGAAGACACAGACTTTTACTACTGCAAGATTGAATTCCTTATACCTCAGCCTGTAAGACAAATATACGGCAACTCAACATACCTCAGTGCAGAAGGTATGGATAACAGTATTGTTGTTTTTTTGATAAAGAGCTCTCATGTGCATTTTTTTACCGAATGTTGCCCATTGTTATTAAGAATAGAAGTGTAAAATATAACTACAGTAGCTATCAACAGAAAATTTCCTGTACAAGTTTCACTTTGTTTGTCTCTTGCTTGTCTATTGTGTATTGTCTATTATCTGTTATTTTTATTTCTCCTTTTGCCTTTCATTATCTCCTCTGTTTCTTTCTTTTTCTCTTGGGAATAGTTACACCTCTTTGTTGAAACACTTTTTGTTTTGCCTTTTTTGTTTAAACGGTTCTTTTCCCCTTTCAGCTTCTCTGTAGGATGAGCAGTTTGTGAACAGATTTGCAGTTCTTTGTGAAATCCATTGTCAGCATAGAATCAAACTGGTTGGAGAATTTACAGTGAGAGATCCCATATATTATTGAGATTTGTCTCTGGCCCATATATGTCAAAAGATCATAGAGGTGTACGAAATTTTAAACAGGATTGAAAAAATAAACCCAGACCATTAATTTGAAACAGTATAAGAGGACATGGGTTTAGAGTTGTAAAGGGTAATTTCAGGCAGACACTGGGAAGTTTTTCTTTACTCAGGGGATAATTAACAATTGGAACAGTTTGCTAGTAAGAGTGGTTGAGGCCAGGACACTGGACTCAGTTAAAAAAGCAGCTTGATGCTATGATGGGGGGAATAGTCGGGTGGATACGAGAGAGATGAAATCAGATGGGCCGAAGGGCCTTCTTCAATCTTGTGACCTTGCCAAATGCTGCAAAAGAAATCTGTCCCAATTCTTTTTCCAATGCAACAAACGGTATGTCCCTGTTATTGACCAGTTATGTTTTCTTTATCCAGCTTCTCCAGATGTTAGGGTGGAGTTTCATCCCTCAGGCATGAATCACTGCTGCATACAACTGGTTTGTTTGGCAGAGAATTTCTACCCGGATAACATCGTTCTGAGCTGGAGTAAAGAAGGAAGCATAATTCCAGAATGGGAGAACTTGGAAATTCTTAACACGTCAAACCAAACCTTCTCTCAAGCAAGTTATCTGAAACTTTCTGATTGGCAGGAGGGAGATGTGTTTTCGTGCCACGTTAATCATTCCTCATTACAGTCTCCTCTCATCAGAGACATAATCATACCATTCAATGAGCAGAACAAAGGTATTTGTACTTTTACAATGTCCTTTCCCTTCCCCTTTAAACTTCCATCTCTGCTGCTTTCCAGCTTTCTCCCTGTTTTCCAGTTGGTTGCTAGACTTGTTCGTTGTATCAATTTAAGATTTAAATGGACTCCAAGATTCTCCCCCATGTGAATGGCGCTATATAAATGCAACTTGTTGTTGTCGTTGTGAAGGTTTAAGGGGGTTTTAGTCTTCTCTCATCAGGGAAAGCAAGTGTCAAAAAAATCCATTGGTTTAATTCTATAAACTCAATGCAAAGATACGAACATAAATCAGGCCAATATTATCCTATGCTTTAGGCATTTTATTAACAAGAAGGCCAGTTTCCTAGGTTCCTCTAATCAATAATAGTTGATTCAGATACATATGGGCACACTCTGGCTTTTAATCGGTACAGTTTGAAGTTCCAATTTATCACAGCATGCAGGTACAGGTAGGACGGTGGACGATCTCAACCAGGATCCTGTGAAGCAGGACTCAGGTGGTCCCTCTGAGGTTCATTGACAAGCATTTCTGTCCCGCCATCACTGAGTAGACAGTCAAAATGGCAGACAAACGCCAAAAGAGCATTTCGAACCAAACCGTTCTGCCAAAGTTGGGTGTTGGACGGTGATGATTGTCAACTGAAATTCTGCCATTTGATCTAATGGCCTTGAATCCATTGTGAAACATTGCATTTTTCATTGTTCAAATGTTGGCATTTATATACAGTAGCGCCCTTCACACCGAGTAGGTTTCTTGAAGCACTTAACAAGGGCATAGTTTAACACCGAGCCAGGGAGAAAGCGAAGGTGACCATAGGCGTTCAGCAGCTATGAATGACTAATGATTTGTTAATGGAAACAAAGAATTCAAAACTCCTTTTCTTTTTTCAATTACAGGAATCAGAATTTACATGTGGGCAACAGTTACCTGCCTCATTCTAATTTTAGTGATTGTGGTTGGATATGTCCTATTTAGGCGCTCAAGAAAAGGTAAAAATTGGATTATTGCAATTTTTGCTCGGAAATCTCATTCTAAAGACACAATGATTTTCACATCAGGAGGGGAGGGCATCTCAAAGCCCTTCACAGGATATACTGTAAAGTATGTATGGTAAAGATAGAGGAATGATGGAAAAAAATGACATTGTATCTGTCTTACACTGATGTGATTTATTTTGTTTCCCCTCATTTCTGCAGATCCCCAGACTGAACCAGTCTATGTCAACTTTGTGCCTGAATCGACAACAAAAGACTCCAAACTAGATCTGATTTACAGTTTTCTTCGCACACCCTAATCATTTCATTGATGTAAAGTTATTTAGTGCACATTTAATACCATTCTCACAGCTGGTCAGAAGATTGCAAATGCAAACTCCATGTTGGTTATTTGAGCTTGTGGACTAGGGTGGACTCCAGTACAGCCCTGCTGGAATTGTCAGAGATGCTGCGTTTCATAATAACATAAAACCAAAGTCCAGTCTGTACATTGTGGCAGACATTAGAGATCAACTCTTTCTTCCGGTATCCTGGCCATCAATCCTCCAGATAAATTTAGTAGTTGACTTCATGGCTGTTTGTGGGACATTGCTGTGTTCATAATAGCTATCACATTTACTGCACAGTAAGGCACCATAAAAAATGCAAATGCTTCTTTATTTAGGTACATTTCTTTTTTATATTTGTTGTGTATCACTGTCTTCTTGATTGTGTCTTTTCTCTCAACCCTCTTAATGAGACTACATTTTCCTTGTTCCAATTCTACTTGACCCCCACCTCCACTTTGTTTCCTCCAGTGCCTGACTTTACCCTCAAATAGTCGCCTGTGGTGTACCTCAGATCTCTATCCTCAATCCCCTCCTTTCCCTCATTTACATTCTCCTCTAAACAACATGAAAGGCGCTTTACAAATGTAATATTGTATTGTATACTAATTAAAATAAAGACCATAAAAGACCTTGCACGAGAGGGTCAAGTTAATATGTTCCATAGATCTCACACGTTCATAAGAGAAATTACTGTTTATTTCATTTCCTAATAGGAAAGAAGATGTAACATTTTTCTAGAATGTTGACAATTACAGTGTTTTAGCGGCAGCTGGGAGCCTATTTAGATTTCATGATGGTCAGGCTAATACACAATTGGGTATAAATTTCATTGATCATTCAGAGAATTGCCTTTGACAATGTCGACCATTAATGGGATTTCCCATGCTAGTTGCTCACATCGCCAAAGGAGCTATACGTAATGCTGAATGGAGTTCTTACCCAAACATGTCTTTAAAGCGCAAAATGTATTTTTAATTTTTGAGATTAAGCATTTTAAATAAAATCAGTAGATACAGAAACTAAATGTAGAATTACACATGAAGCCCAGAGAATCTAATCAGAGTCTAAAAAAGTGCATCTTCCTTCAGTTTGTTAATGTCCAGACCGACTGTACAATGCACTGTAGTCTGTACAGCTGTCACACAGCAATACAAGTTTCGGACTGGATTGAGGTTATAAGAACTACACTATAAATTACAACTGTAGCTTCCATTTAGTTTACAGTTGAATCGCTTACTCTGCTTCACTAACCAATCTATAGGGAATACAAACTTTGCAACTGGTCCAGATCGATCAGTTTCAGTTCTTTCGTTCAGTAAATGCCTCTTTCTTGATCTATTTGTCCTGATCAACAATTCTCCAAACAGCATTGAACCTTCACTCTATAGCTGTTTGTGGGACATTGCATAAGTTCTTATAAAAAATACACATGTCACTACACTTTAAATTATATCCTGGAAGTCGACCCTCCAAAGTGAAAAGCGCGATACCAAATTTAAAGATTATTAATGATAACTGAGTTCAGATTACTTGCCATTGACACACCACTGTGGGCTCTGGTGATGATTCTCATATATGGACTGATACTGTTCAGCAGATTCCTTTTAGATGTTGAATGGACAACTGTCAATCTCTTGCCTTTGTATGGTCCTCAATTTGCTTCACTATCAGAATGCTGGCCAAGGACGTTGGTTACAAATTACAAGTTACAAATGGTCACAGTGGCCAGGACAATTAACACTGCTCTCTGCATTCATTGGATTGTACACATAATATTCAGATGAATCAGAAATCGGCAGCCAACATTGATAATGTATTGGCATTGCCATCTATCTGCAAAATGCCAGAGATGCATTGCAATAGGTCCACACAGAGAGCAAAAAAAAGCCTTAGAATACCACTTTATATTACTGAGGAACGAAATGCAGACTTTTCCTCCCACACTTTAGTACCTTGTATTAGCAGAAACAGATAATATGTCTGGTGCCAATGGGCTTGAAGATTAATGGCAATTTAAAGTGTAATCACATTTCAACCAGACTTAATCCACTGTACTGCCATCGCTGTACAGATCTGGCCGATAGGAAAGTAAATCCCTGCAGTATTAATTGGGCACATGTGTGAAAACATTCGCAAAACAACAATATGGATTCCGACATATCGCACATAGTATTTGTAAGAGCTCTGATCCACTTGCAGGTTTACACTGGAGACTGGTATCAAAAGCTGTCACTCTGGACTCCGGTTCTGTGCCAGTTTAATTTATTGTATAACTAGGAAGGGAATCGATGCTAATAGGAATCCACTATACACTATTTACAAGTAAATCCAGGGCATTGCTATCACTCCGCTCTGTGCTGCAGTGTGAAGGGGAGCAATGCATGCAATTACAGCTGATATCTCTTGAAATCTTAAACACAGCACCTTCAGTGATCAGTATAAATTAGACTTGAGAAAGCCAAGATTACTTTAGACAGTAATAAGAATACAATCTTTACAAGATAACACAGAGGCTGAGGAACGCTACAAGCCAGCAAAGGATTTTTCCCGATGGCTTGGCCAACAATCCTTTAGACAAATTGGTCATTGACTTCATGGCTGTTAGTGGGCCCTTGGCTTGTGCAAATCAGTGGTGGCACCTGCTTAGACATACACTGTCACAGCACTTGACACAATTGCCTGTAATGCACTTTGGAATATTCATTAAATGAAATAATTATTAACACATTATTAACTGTGTTAATCTTTATCACACGCACTCACCTCGTGTAGCAATCACCTTTTGATATTTGGTCCAACATTTCACTTTGTTTTGGGAACGGTGCTGTCGTGAAGATGTTTCTCCTTGTTCTTTTTTACAGTCTCCCACCCCCCTCACTCCATTGCCTCCCACTGGAACACAAAATGATTGACAGTTCCAGGAAAGTAGAATCAAGGATCTATCTTGACCAGCAGAGAGCGTGTATTAAGATTGAGATAAAACAGATCCGCAACGAGTGCAGTGACGACTGCAATGAAAACCCTGGCAGATGGCACTAAACTCTGTGCATTAAGAGAGGTTGATAAAATGGTATTGCATTCCATTGAAATGAGGTTTCCTATTAAAAACAGTATCGGTGACCAAAGCACTGATCAGCCCATTATTTATAAGCAATTGCCGTATATTCAGCAGCTGCTTTTTCTGACCTTGAACAAAAGACATTGTTAATCATTGTTCCAGAATTGGGACTAGCTTTATTTCGGAAAAGCTTTGATTTCTGGCTGTGTGCCCTACATTGTAATTCAACAAAGTATTAATTCATGAAGGAAAATAATAGATAGATCACAGAATGGCAGGAGCAGCTGTAAAATCAATGTCCGAAAGAACAATAAATTCTTACATTTTGTTCTAGTTTTGCTTTACTAAACACAAGCTATATGGCTTTATAGCTTTATTTTGCCTTGTAATGCCCTTGGATACTGGCATCATGTAAGCTTAGGTTTATTTATCATTCCATAGGTTATTCATTTAGTATTTTAACCAAGTTACATTATTTCCAGCACATAGAATATTTGGGAGAATAATGGAAATTTCTTTGGTGACAATTATCACTGGTGAAAATTATCTGCCAGGGATAATGTGATGTGTTAACACATCACAGTTTTCATCCTGAAGATGAAACAATTTTTATTCAACTTTTAAAGTATGTTTGAATCCTTAAATGATGAGTTCCGAGCTCATTCACGCCATCAACAACAACAACAACAAGATTCCATTTATAGAGCGCCTTTCACGTCAGGAGGACGTCCCAAGGCGCTGTACAGTTGGGTCAGGACCTGAGCCGGGGGTAATGGTCAGGGTGAGGGGAGGGAGCGAGGAGGGGTCGAGAGGGGAGCTGAAGGCACAGTCAAAAAGAAAGGTCTTGAGACCGGCCTTGAAGGAGGAAAGGGAGGAGACAAGGCGAAGGCACTGGGGGATAGAGTTCCAGAGCCTAGGGGCTGAGAGGCTGAAGGCCCGGCCACCGGTGTTAGGGCGGTTGGGGCGGGGGACGTGGAGCAGACCGTAGCCAGAGGAACGGAGGGTACGGGCAGGTAGATAGGGGGATAGTAGATCAGAGAGGTAGGAGGGTGCAAGGCCGTGAATGGCCTTGTAGGTGAGGATGAGGATCTTGAATTCGATCCTCTGGGGGATGGGGAGCCAGTGGAGGCGAGCGAGGGTGGGAGTGATGTGGTCCCGAAGCCTGGTGCGGGACAGTACACGAGCTGCAGAGTTCTGAATGACCTGCAGCTTGTGGAGGGAGGTGCCGGGAAGGCCGGCGAGGAGAGAGTTCCCATAGTCCAGCCTTGAGGTGATAAAGGCGTGGACCAGAGTTTCAGCAGCGTGAGGGGTGAGGTAGTGCCGTAGTCTGGCGATATTCCGGAGGTGATGGAAGGCGGTGCCAGTTGTGGTGCGGATATGAGAGAGAAAGGACAGCTCAGGGTCGAACAGAACCCCGAGGTTCCTGACTGGCTTTGAGAGGTGGAGAGTGCAGCCTTGGATGCTGATGCTGTCAGCGCCTGAGGTGCGGAGGCGCTGACGCGAGCCAATCAGGAGGGCCTCAGTTTTGCGCACTTTGAGCTGAAGAAAGTTGTATCTCGTCCAGGACTCGATGTCAGACAGGCAGCTGTCAGGACATCGGTGGTCATGGAGTTGAGGGTAGAGGAGGAAAGGTAGAGTTGGGTGTCATCCGCATACATGTGGAAGTTAACCCCATGTCTGCGGATGATGTCACCAAGGGGGAGCATATAGAGGGTGAAGAGGAGGGGACCGAGGACAGAGCCCTGAGGGACACCGCACGAGACAGTGCGGGGGCCGGAGGAAAAAACATTCGTGGAAACAAAGTGAAGACAGTGGGAGAGGGCCTTGAAGGTTGAGGTGGGAGGACAAGCGGTGGAGGAGGATAGCGTGGTCGACCGTATCGAATGCTGCCGATAGGTCGAGGAGGACGAGGAGGCAGAGGGAGCCCTGGTCGCAGATGGTCAGGATGTCATTGGTGACCTTGACCAGGGCAGTTTCTGTGCTATGGGCAGCACGGAAACCCGACTGAAGGGGTTCGAATAATGAGCGGGTGGAGAGGAGAGAGCGCAGCAGGGAGGCGACAACTCGTTCAAGGACCTTGGATAGGAAGGGGAGGTTGGAGATGGGCCGGTAGCTTGATAGATGCGATGCATCAAGGGAGGGTTTTTTCAAGGTTGGAGTGACGGTGGCAGTTTTTAAGGGAATGGGAACACAGCCAGAGGAGAGGGACAGGTTGACGATGTCTGTGATATGTGGGGCAAGGAGGTGGAGCTGGGAGATAAGGAGTGGAGTGGGGATGGGGTCAAGGGAGCAGGTTTAATCACAGGGAGAGGTTTAATAGAATTCACTCTTCAATTCAGAGAGTGAGGGGAATCAGAGTGAGCGTTACTACAACAACAACTTGGATTTATATAGCGCCCTCCACCCCAGACGGCATCTCAGAGCGCTTCACAGTATCGGATCCTGGGGCAGAGCCAGGGGGAGGGGGAGGAAGGTGACCAAAGGCGCAGTCGAAAAGAAAGGTTACCACAAGGCTGGTCTCATTTAACTTCTGTTAGCAACATGATGAGGTGTGAAGTCAAGTCACCCTTTTCGTCCTAGCCAGTGTCCAAGGTGTATATAATAATCCCTCCAAAAAAACAAAACAATAATAAATTGGTCATTTTCAATCTACGACTGTTTGTGGGACATTGCTGTGCGCAATTGGCTGCCGCGTTTGCCCACAAATATACAGTCAAGTCACTTTACAGTGTGTTCTGTGAAGCGCTTTGGGACGTCCTCCCGACGTGAAAAGCGCTATATCAAATGCAAGGATTATTATTATTATTATTATTATTACATGTAAGATATCAGGAGAAAAGTGCTTGAACATACAAAACACCTTCCCAAAAAGGTTCATAAACAATAAAGTTTATTAATTTTTTCCAATGGATGTAAATAGCAGCAAATCAGGTTTTAAATGAAACCAATTTCCCTCTGAGCTGTTTAGAATTCCAATATCTACTTGGTATATTTTTCCATGCAAAAGTTCTTCAATCCCTGAAATTTAATTTATAATAATAATAATCCTTGCATTTGATATTGGACCTTGACACGTCTTTGAGACGTTTCAAAGTGCTTCACAGAATATACCATAAAGTGAATTGACTGTATATTTTGTGGACAAAACCCGGCAGCCAATTGCACACAGCAGTGTCCCGCAAACAGTCGTGGATTGAAGTGACCAATTTATTTTTATTATTTTTAAGGAATTATGGCCAGAAAAGTGATCTGCTAATCGACTAACAATAAGGTTCCTACTTACTGCTAGGTAAACAGTGGCGTTTGGAGTAAGGAAACTTGCCCAATGTTTTGCCCTGCTGGGAATCAAACCCAGGTCTCTCGCTTGCGAGATGAGCGCTCTGATCACTGAGCTACAGGACTCCATCTCCATTTCTCTACGATGGTGGATTTTTTGTTACCCTACAATCACTATGACCCTTTGAGACGTCAAGTTTCCTCACACATAGCGCTGAACAACATCAACAACAAATTTACATTTACATAGCTCCTTGCACGTTGGGAGGATGTCCCAAGGTACTTTACAGTCCTGGCTTGGCACCCGAACAAAGGGTGGTTGCTGAGAGGGTGGTATTCTCAAACTCTGATGGTAATAATCCCTCCAAAATCAAAAACAATAATAAATTGGAGATTTTCAATCTACGACTGTTTGTGGGACATTGCTGTGCGCAATTGGCTGCCGCGTTCGCCCACAAATATACAGTCAATTCACTTTACAGTGTGTTCTGTGAAGCGCTTTGGGACGTCCTCCCGACGTGAAAAGCGCTATATCAAATGCAAGGATTATTATTATTATAATGGTGTGCAAGTTATGCCTTCTTAAAAAGTTGATGTTCTGCCTTGATTCAACTTCCCAAATGGAGGATTACACTTTGCTGGCTGCGTTATTTTCACTGCATTTGGGAGACCCAATCTCAGCAAACACCAAGCAAGGTAAGAAACCACCTCTTCAAACTTGGCTATTTTATTTTAATCAAACTAATACATTGACCTATAATTGGGTTTGCATTAATATACTCACAGAAGTACATCACTTAGAGATTGCACCTGCAATTTCCCAAAATTGAGTTCCTAAAGAATAGTATGTTCATCCTGATTTATAGATTCTCAAACTATCAATTTCTGCAAAAGCAATGTTGACCCCAAGATTGTTTTCCACCAGTGCTAATTGCCAGAGGAACCCGCCATTAATTCCCCTATGCCATTACAGTACTGAATTTCCAATCCTGAGTTGCCTCATTGTACCTCATGTTCCAGCACTATATGTATGGATATGAAGTGAGCACAGGATCACACTTGGTTGCGATTCCCTATCCAGTCAAAACATCTTCCAACACTCAATATCAAGCCTCACAAGTGATTGATGATCACTTGGGGTACCTGACATTTCCTTCCACTAACCGCAGCACCATCTTGAGAATACTGGTGCTTCTGGGGAGATGGAATTCTACCGTGAGTCCAATTCCATGGGCCAAAAATCCTACTGTGCAAGTAGTGCCCTTGTGTATATAAAAAATAAAGTTTCTACAGGTGTGGTTCAGTATGGAGGAGAGAGGGGTTAAATATGTGTGATTCCAAAAGGAACACATTCCGGGTAGTCTGCTAAGGTATAAAAATGTTACCAAATTCCAAATCTGCTTGTTGGTCAGTAATGGCTATGGTCCGGAAAGGCAGGCGACAGCATTATTTTGCACATGCCTTTATCCAATGTGTAAGATTACATGGTACACAAACCACTATTATACTTACCAGTCTTGACCTAACAGTGTTCGCTCACGAAAACACACAATCATTCCATTCTACAGTATATCCTATGAAGTGCTTTCAGACATCCTCCCGAAGTGAAAGGCACTATACCAAATGTGAGGATTATTAGTAATATTGTTAGTTTGATCTCCCCCTCTGTGATGGAATAGTGAACTTTCGCGAGATTATTTTTATTTGTTTTCTGATGTTGAGCCATTGTGTTCTCTGAGAGAGTCATGTTACAATTAAGTTAGTAATTGGACAGTTGAAACAATAGATGCTTCCTTCTTCCACACAACGCTCTCCCTCCCCAACACCACCACAGACCACACATACACACAGACACCATGCTATTGTCTGAGGCCAAAAGTCAAATATAGAACAAGTTAAAATGCTCGTGTTTAGAATACTTCACAAGGAACGACCTTGAAATTAGAATATAAAAGCTAGGTATTGGCCACACTGCTATACTGATCCCGGCTCTTGACTGGTTGGTATGTAGACTCCTTTATTTGTGTCTTTCTTTTAGATTTGTTTGCCGTTGTTGGTAATAGAAACTTTGTAGCCTAATTGATTTCAATAAATGATACTTATTTGTAAGTGCAATGTTACAAAATATTTTTCCTTCCCATTTCCTTGGAGAATGTAATTCAACAAAAACTTAACTGGAGAAATTTAAACTTCCAAGTTCAGTCTCGACTTTGAAGTAAGTTTCCTGCAGTTCTTTTTTAAAAAAAAATCAGCTTCATTTAAGAAGCTTGCATTTAAGAATTCTGGACACTTATTACACAAACAGAGTAAATCAAGACCTGGGTGAAATTTCTTCTATAGATGCTTTAAGAAAAGACATACATAAATTAGATTGCTAGGTGAAGTTCAAATCAAAAGGTTTGCAACATGTTGGTTTTAATCTTATTCCTCTTGCAGAATTATCTCCCGTTGCTTTGCAGCTAATTTGCTACCTTGAAGCATCCCATAATGATGGACTCTTCTGAATTTGGTGAAGCGGCCCCTTTCCTCAGGAAGAGTGAGAAAGAATTGATGAGGCTACACACCATACCCTTTGATGGTAATAGCTTAATTTATACAGTTAACCACACTGATCCCGTTCATTTTAGTCTTCAAACCCTTTGATCAACCTTCATAGCTGTCAGTCAGAGCAATCAATTTACTTAGTCTTTTTGCCCGAATGTTGTGTCATCCCAGGTTTTATTTTGTAATAATAATACTAATAATTATCCTTGTGTTTGGTATAGTGCCTTTCAGTCAGGAGGATGTCTCAAAGCACATCACAGGATTTACACTGTGTAGTGACTGTAATTTGTAGGTGAGCTCAGCAACCAATTTACGCACAGCCATGTCCCACAAACACCCATGAAGAAAATGATCAGTTTTATCTGGAGGATTTTCAAATGGTTCATAAGTTCTTTAAAGTCCTAAACAGGCAGACAAGACTTTAGCTTAATGTGTCAGCTGAAAGATGACAGCACTGAAAATGCAGACCAGTGGTGGCCAATATTTTTGGTTGACTAACAAAATACATTTTTTGTGATTAAATATTTCCTGATTTATATCGTAAATCAAGAGATATTTAATTACAAAAACCTGGAAATACACTACTGTTCGAACAGGGACTTAGTCTGACAGCTTTCAGACTCAAACTCCTCATATGCCCCGCTGCAAATAATAAATAAATTGCTCCAAGAAAAAAATGAACAGAAATAAAACTAATGATGAATCTAATTTATTGAAAGACATAAACTTTACATAATAGCTGGACACAAAGACCATATAATAATAATAATCCTTGCATTTGATATAGCGCCTTATCACGGATTCGAGGCGTCTCAAAGAGCTTCAAAGGATATACTGTAAAGTGAATTGACGGTATATTTTGTGGGCAAAATGCAGCAGCCATGAAAAATCATGAGCAGTTCTTGGGAGTCCATTGACACGATAAGGACATGATGTGCAAAACTCAAAGCAGCTTGTGGATTCTCAAGTTCTTTTGGCTTACAAAGTGAGTCTAAGCTCCAACTAGGAAAGTGAAGAGACTTTTCATGTTTTTGAAGAGTGGGATAGAATTTTTTTTTATAGTTAAGCATTAGCTAGCAGAATTCAGTATTCGTAATATACTACATTGATATCAATTCACAGGGAAGAGGAGGTGCTGGATTGCGGATGAGAAGGAAGCCTACGTTGAAGCTGAGATCAAAGGAGGCACCAGTGGAAAATTCACTGTTGAAACGGTCGATGGGAGGGTGAGGAAACCTTACTGATGTGATGCTTTTTCATCCAACTTTAAATTAATTTCTTTCCTGCCGTTAGTAATGTGCTTGTATTTCTCAGAATCTGATCGTCAAAGAGAATGACATTCAACAAATGAACCCTCCTAAATTTGACATGATTGAGGACATAGCTATGTTGACTCATCTCAACGAAGCATCTGTACTGGACAATCTTCGCAAACGATACTCCAACTGGATGATTTATGTAAGATTTGATCTCAGGCGTATTAGACATTGGGATATTTGAACACACTGTAGTACTTTAGTGTATGCTTATGTTCACATCCTTTTCAAATAGAGTTAGACATGGCTGCTAAGTGTTACATGGATTTCAATATTATTTTACAAGCTCATCGAGATAGATATGAGCAACTAAGTGAATTGAAGCAATAATACAATTGAAAACTATTATCCTTTGACCTCCAATATCTCGATGAATTATTGCCTGTTAAAAATGAAATGTAAAACTCAGTGCATGAATTTACATACTGAATAATGAACTATGGATTTGTTGTTTTTCAGACCTATTCGGGATTGTTTTGTGTTGCTGTGAATCCATACAAGTTCCTTCCAGTCTACAAGACTGAGGTTATTGCTGCCTACAAAGGCAAGAGACGCACCGAGGTTCCTCCTCACATCTTTGCCATTGCTGACAATGCTTACAACGACATGCTGCGCAGTGAGTCTTACTTATTTCTATTTGTATATCTAAAGTTTATAGTCTATGCTGACACTCCAGTACAATGCTTGGGGTGCTCTGCATTATCAGATGTGCCATCCCTCAGATGAGACATTAAACTGAGGCCCCATCTTCCTGTTCAGATGCACATTAAAGATCCCATTATTTGAAAGGTGAAGGGAGTTTCTCCCAGTGTCCAGATAAAATTGATCGGTCATTCAACTCATCGCTGTTTCTGGGACACTGTTGGACAAATTTGCTGCTACGTTCGACCTCACAGTATTGTACAATAAAAGCTTTGAGGCATTTCAGCAATATGATGTGGTACTGTGTCAAATCTAAGGGTTATTATTATTAATAATAGTAAATTAACAAATAATCGGTATTCCAAAAGACATTTCTTCAAAACATACCACTGAGATGGGAGTTACACTGTTATATTTATACCCTGCTATTTGGCCACCTTTGTCTATTGAGTACTGGGATGGTTTCATTAATTGTAATAAGCCTAATATGATCTCCATGACTCAGTGTTAATCCTACAGATAAACTATAGTGGAAAACCTTGTGTAACTCTTTAATCCGATGTCTATCTTTCAGACCGCGAGAACCAGGCCATGCTCATCACGTAAGTATTAAGCAGTGCGTGAGATTTTCCACTGATCTGTAAATTTACCAAACCTTGTAGTACATGCATATCATGGGAAAAATCAGTAAATTTATCTACCATTGGAAAATATGATCATAGTTTAAATGCATGACACAATGAAACTCACACATTGTTTGTAACACCCTTTTATAATCTCTTTTATAATCTATTATACAATATATGACCTCTACATGCCTTTTGCTTCTCATTGCTTATTCACTATTTACTTATTGACCTCTGTATCAAGCTCTCCCTAATCCTGCTGAGCAATCATTCAGACTCCTGGCCTGGACCTACTGCTGTACACTCCGAGTCCACACTTAACATCCTGTTCTAATTACAGAGTAGTCAATATAAATATCTGTATGCTCTTTGTGTGTTCCTTAGCGGAGAATCCGGGGCTGGCAAGACTGTGAACACCAAACGTGTTATTCAATACTTCGCCACTGTAGCTGCCATTGGGGACGCAGCCGGGAAAAAAAACGTAAGCAAACAAAGCCTGTGCTATATGAACTCAGACTAATCCCTGCTGACGTGCGCTGGCACAAAGTTATACTCATTTTCTGTGGAGCTCCAGCAACAACAACAACTTGCATTTATATAGCGCCCTTCACATAGGATAACATCTCGGAGGGCTTCACAAGGTGGGGTAAGAAGCCAAGAGAGGGAGAATTTTATTTGCTGACAGTGTGATCCGTGGGAGCAGAGATAATAATAATCATCATAATAATAATATCCTTGTATTTGGTGTAATGCATTTCATGTCAGGAGGACATTCCAAAGTGCTTCACATTGCAAAAGTAGAGTGACTATTGTGGGAGAATGGTTTTGTGGAGATATCTCAGTGTACAGGCAAATTGCTATAGGTCTGTGGCTTGAGATTATTGAGCATCAATTAATACCTCTGATGTATTTTTTCACCTCTATAATAATCCTTGCATTTGATATAGCGCTTTTCACGTCTTCTAAACGTCTCAAAGCTCTTCACAGAATAGACTGTAAAGTGAATGAACTGTATATTTGTGGGTGAAACACTGCAGCCAATTGCACACAATAGAGTCCCACAAACAGTCGTGGATTGAGTCACCGAATTCTTATTGTTTTTTTTTGAAGGATTATTATCCACAGAAAAGCCATCCACCAATTGACTAACCGGGTTGATACTTACTGCTAGGTAAACAGAAGCATGTGGAGTAAGGAAACTTGGCCAACATTTCATCCTGCTGGGAACAGTACCAGGTCTCTCGCTCGCGAGGCGAGTGCTCTAATCACTGAGCTACAGACTCCATAGACTCTATGTTGTATGACTTCAGAGTCTATCCTCACTATAAACGCTTTGAGTCATTTCAGCGAGATGATGTGGTGCTGTATCAAATCTCAGGGTTGTTATTATTATTATTAATAATAAATTAACAAATGATCGGTATTCCAAACCGCATTTCTCCAAAACTATAACTTCATCACGTTACAATCTTGGTCAGGAGGAAGAGGAGTCAGAGATGGTCCCTAGGACATAACTCTTGTCAACTTGCGCCTTATACTTTCTGGAACTAGACGAGCAGCGTGCATCCCTCTGGGGAGAGTGTGCACACCATTCCAGACACAGGGAAATTTCCATGCATACGTGAAACTCTCAATCTGGTTTGAACATTCTTAAGAGTGAGTGAAGGGTTTCTGCATGTGTCAAACACTCGGTCTACAAAAATAAAATCCACGTTTTATCTACTGCTTCGAATGAATGTGAAGATGTCATAAGCTATATTTTGAATAAACTATTTGTAACAGGACTCCTTACAACTATTCCCCAGCTCCCCCTTTCCCTATGATCACTGCCACCACTACCCAATGCCGAGGTAACTGCTCAAGCTGTGCTCAAGGAGTAGTCAAATTCAATCGAATGTCGAAACTTGAGGCCCAATTCAATCTTGTTATAACCCAATATAACATGTTTTTAAGCTCAAATGTGGTTCCAGACCAGCAAGCCCGATGATAGCCCAAAAGATTCCTTGATCACCAACCATTTCAATCGCCTGTTTTGAACATCAGTGGGGCTGAATATTTTGGAATGCAATAATTATCACGTCGCTATTTTCATCCCAATATTGGCTTCTGATGTATGCGCTGTTCTTTTAAAGGCAATTCCTTTACCACCTTGGAAAGTAAGTTGTTAACTTTATTTTACGTTTTTTTCCCCACAGCTGCCTGCAACCAGGACAGGGGTGAGTCCAACTTGTAATTTTTGACTTCTGCTTTGAACCAATTGTTGGGTTGACTTTAAGGTCCTCTTTCTAACATTCAAATGTCTCCACATTCTTGCCCCACCCTACCTCGTCATTGTTTGTGGTCCTGATCCCCTGACAGTTCCCTCTATTCTGCCAACTCTGGCCTGCTCCATGCCCATCGTCCATCCACCCCGCCCGCCCTGCCATCATCAGACCTTCAGTCATGTTGCCTCTGCTCTCGGGAATTCCTTCCCTAAGTCCTTCTAGCTTGCAGCCTCCCTCTCTGCTTGCAAAACCCTTCTAAAAAAAACTTACCTCTTTGACTGTGCTTCAGTCACCTCACTCCTATTTCCTCCGCTACTTGGGTTCCTGCTCTGTTTTTGTAAAGTGCTTTGAGATATTTAATTATGGGGAAGGCTCTATAAAAATGCAAGTCATTTTCATTCAATTATTTGGAGAAAGCAATTTATTTTGGTTATAGGGAAACTTGGAGGATCAAGTCATCCAGGCTAACCCTGCACTGGAAGCCTTCGGCAATGCCAAGACCTTGAGAAATGACAACTCATCTCGCTTTGTAAGTGTCATGGGATTATATAAAATTTTCAACAGTGGAGCTTGTGATCTCTGTGACATGTATCACATCAATTGGAGTGCTGTAGCATATTGGTTAGAGCACTCACTTCACAAGCAAGAGAACCCAGGTTTGATTTCCAGGCAGGGTGAAACCTGATTCCTTAATCTACATGCCTCTGTTTACCGAGCAGTAAGTAGGAACCCAGTTGTTAGTCAATTGGTGGATTGATTTCTGTGGGTAATAATCCCTCCCCACAAAATTTTTTTTTGGTGGGGATTCACTCAATCCACGACTGTTTGTGGGACACTCCAATGCGCCATTGGCTGCTGCGTTTCGCCCAAAAAACACAGTCACTCCACTTAACAGTATATCTTGTGAAGCGCTTTGAGCCGTCTCAATGACGTGATAAAGCGCTATATCAAATGCAAGGATTAATATTATTAGCAATTGGATTGGAAGTGGATCCACCAACATTATTTTCAATGATAAAGAGGACGAAGCCAAGCCTTTGGTGATGGACGTCCAGTTTGCAGGTTACAGCCAGTTAGCAGGACACCAACTTTTTTGTGGAAAAAAAATCTCAAAGATCCTGGTCAGTAGTCAAAGGAGTATTAGGGAATAGTAATAATTAAATTGGAGTTTCTAATTTTCTCAACAGGGTAAATTCATCCGAATACATTTTGGAACAACTGGGAAGTTGTCATCAGCTGATATTGATATCTGTAAGTATTCTGTTAGTTGTAATTATAAATACGTAGGGTACACAAACCACGTTCCAGTGTCACAATGATTTGCTGTACAGATAGCATCAATAGAATAATACTTTTTGAGAGACAATGGTGTACAGCGTTTATTTCAGTGCTAAGTGCATTATAACGCACCCGAGTACTGAATATCCACCTAACATTTAACCTGTAAGCCACTTTTTTCTTTAAATATAAAGATGACCGAATTGAAGATCACTGAAAGGAAAGGTTCCCAAATGTAAATGGAATTTAAGAGCTTTCATCAAATCTGCTTGATCTGGAATTTCCAGACAAAACGGTCTTACAGACTAAGATTAGGTGGAATTTCAGACCTCTGCACCTCAATGTTTTAAATTTAAGTAGCTGAGGAGTCAAGTGGCACAGTGCAGTGCATTACCTAGGTGGAAAAGAATAAGAGAGGATGTTAAATAAGTCAGCAAGTTAGGTGACACACACCAAGCACGGGAAATAAAAGGCAGATTTTGTGAGTGAGGGAACGCTGAGGAAGTTAAGGAAATCTACAGCTTGAGATCCTGGGAAATAATAAATTTGATTCGTGGACAATTAGATGCAACTTAATTTCAACAAAGTGAGGATGGAGGCAGGAGGACGAGTATACAGAGTGGCATGTTAGAAGCTTGGGAGGTACCATTTAAATAGCTGTCACTTGTGTAAGATCTTCGCAGTCTATCTAATTGCCTCCTGATACGTAGAGTCAGTCCTGTTTGAGATCACCAGTGTTATTGGTTTATTCTTTTTCTTCTAAGTTGCTTTATTGTTACCTTTCACAGACCTGTTGGAGAAATCACGAGTGATTTTCCAACAGCCCGGAGAGAGGAGTTATCATATTTTCTACCAAATCCTGTCGGGCAGGAAACCTGAGCTGCAGGGTATGTGACACATTGTTGCCCTCTCCACTTGTTCCAAGCTTGGAATCAACAAATAACAAAAGTAGTACATCGAAAGAGGGTCTAAAATATGGCATTCGCCAGGTTTGTTGCAACTCCTAGTTTGTGCCTGAAATCTCAGGATTCAATGACAAATTACACCGAAAACGTGATACCAATTGCCTGCAAAAGTTGCTCTGGATCACTGTTTTGTTTTCCAATCTATCCTCAGCCAAAAAAAAAGACCCGAACATCCCCAACGAAACATTGACTACAATTTGCTGGTATTCAGGATTGCGTTTTGTTTTACAATCTCAATCGGCCGCTGCGTTTCGCCCCCAAAATCTACAGTCAATCCACTTTACAATATATTCTGTGAAGCACTTTGAAACATTTCAATGACATAATAAGGCGCTGTATCAAATGCGAGGATTATTATATCGTTCAGTGAATTTGTTAAAAAATCCCACAAGACTCAAGTACTGATTAGTAAATTTGAACAATGACTCTCCACACAAATATATATATATATACATAACTATATTATATCACAACCCATCTACGTTACTTACAGATATGTTGCTGGTAACAACAAATCCATACGACTTCCACTTCTGTTCACAAGGGGTCGTCACTGTGGACAACCTGGATGACAGAGAAGAATTGCTGGGAACTGATGTAAGGAATGAATGTAAAGATGAACTCAATGTTTCATGACACAGAGAGATTTCTTGTTGGAGAGAGCCATAGCATATTTTCAGTGCAAATGGAGGCAGTACAGAGTACTGATCTGTCATTAAATACTCCCCTTTGTCTCCTCGTTTTCACAGCAAGCTATGGATATCCTGGGCTTTGTTCCTGAGGAAAAACATGGTTCCTATAAACTGACTGGGGCAATCATGCACTTTGGAAACATGAAGTTTAAGCAAAAACAGCGAGAAGAACAAGCTGAAACAGATGGCACTGAAAGTAAGGATCAACTGCTATAAGTTAAATCCAGCTGAACATAAACAGGAACTCCAAATTGAGATCAGAGCTGAGTACAGTACTGGTATCACATCCATGGGGTTTCCAAGGAGGAAATATACTTTACAGTTAATCCAGCACCCGGTGCCATTTACACTGCCGTTTTCCTTATGAGCAATAAGTTGTCAGAGGGAATCTAGGGTGTAAAATTAGTGGTGCTCCTTAAACTGTTCATTATGTTAGATAGCATAGGGAGCAACAACAACAACTTGTGTTTGTATAGCGCCATTCATGCAGGATAGAGTCTTGATGCACTTGAAAGCAAATAGTTAAGGAATAGAGCAGGTTTGTTTCTTATATAACACAGCCACTTTACTTCACCTTCTGGAGTGCTGTAGCTCAGTGGTTAGAGCACTCGCCTTGCAAGCGAGAGACCTGGTTTTGATTCCCAGCAGGGCGAAACCTTGGGCACGTTTCCTTATTCCACATGCCTGATAATAATCCCTCAAGAAAAAAAATAATAATTTGGTAACTCAATCGACAACGGTTTGTGGGACACTGCTGTGTGCAATTGGCTGCTGCGTTTTGCCCACAAATATACAATCAATTCACTTTACACTATACTCTGTGAAGTGCTAGGAGACATCTTGAAGACTGAAAAGCGCTATAACATACGCAAGGATTATTATTATCATTATTATAATCAGAGCATTGCTCTCATTCTTTACAGCTGGAATATATCTACCTAAATCCTTATTGCCCTCCCACCCCACCACCCACTTCCCAGAATACAACTTCATATAGTTCATTTTCTGATGTAGGTTATTGAAACTTTAAATTTAACTTGGGATTCCTTGAGACTCTACCATTTTGCTGGGGCCGCGGAGGGAGTCGTAATAGAACAAATTCAAAATATGAGTTGGTTTCTTCAAGAGAAGAGGGAGGGGAACATTGACAAGAGAAAACTAAACTGATCGCACTAAGAGGAGATCGATCCCACAGAAATCTGCTCTGTCCACGGAGGCAGTAGAGGCAGATTATATCAACACATTCAAAGCAATTGGACAGTTAATTGATAATAATTCACTTGAGGGGTCTGAGAGATAGATTGGTGTATAATTGTTCAGTTTTTTTTTAATTTTGGGAACCTAACTGATGGACCATAATGATCCTTTGCTGGTCTTGTACATTATTAATAATAATAACAATAATAATCTTTACATTTGGTATTGTGTCTTTCACTCAGTAGAACATCCCAAAATGTTTCACAGCATATACAGTAAAATGAAGTGACAATGTGTTTTGTAGATGAACACTCCCTTGTTTATTCAACCATGTTCATAAGAAAACAAATAGGAAAAAATGGTTCCTTGGCATTTACCATTTTTCTTAAGCTTTGATAACATGGTTTGTAATTTCTTCCATTGCAGGTGCTGACAAATCTGCTTATCTGATGGGGCTAAGCTCCTCTGATTTAATCAAAGGCCTTTTACATCCAAGAGTTAAAGTTGGAAACGAGTATGTGACCAAAGGTCAGACTGTGGCGCAGGTAACCAAGTCTATCAGATATAATAATAATAATCCTTGCATTTGACATAGGGCCTTATCACATCTTCGAGACATCTCAAAGCGCTTTACCGAATATACTGTAAAGTGAATTGACTGTATATTTTGTGGGCAGATATAATGCCCAATACTACATCTTATATTGGAAACGCTGTACTGACCTCCCTCGCTATGTGTTTTACCCGTGTAGTATTTTTGTGTTATAGGTTTCCTATTCTGTGGGTGCCTTAGCCAAAGCAGTGTATGACAGGATGTTCAAGTGGCTGGTCACTCGCATCAACAGAACTCTGGACACAAGGCTTCCGAGACAATTCTTCATCGGTGTCCTGGACATCGCTGGGTTTGAAATCTTTGATGTGAGTTTCTATTGTTTAGAACTATTTTATATATAACACCCACATGTTGCTCAAAGTGGATGATAGTTTAAGTGCTCCGGGTGCTACCCTGTATGAAGGGCGTGATATAAATACAAGTTGTTTTGATACTCCTCTTTGATCGTGGTTTCGGCCACCCTCCCATTTCCCCTCCCCTACCCTCCACCCCTCTTGATTCCAACCCTAGCTCGGGTGAAAACCCTTAACTATCCAGCTCCTTGGGACGTCTTCCTGACATGACAGGCGCTATACAAATGTCATTTTGTTGTTGATAGCATCGGGAGAATAGAATTTTTCAATTTAGTGGCAATGTCTAGTAATTTCACATTAAGATCACAAGATTGTTTGGGGTGAAGAAGGTTCTTGTTCTTCACCCCATCGGATCTCACCCTTTCAGAAAACACACCTTACCGTCCTCCCATTCAGCACCAGGTTTTTTTAAAATTAGTCCACAATTCCTGGCCAAAAGTAGTCCAGGCAAGATTTAAATACGGAAATGCCTTGTGTTGCTCTGTTAACCGTAAAGCCTGTTCTAGCAGTGGAAACTCAAGAGGCTGCTCTTTCACCAAACATTTGAAAAGTTCTGCACAGACAAAGAAGCTCATAGCTTTTCTCATTGTTTTACATAAAAGATGTGAGGCGATTCCAGTACTTGGTATTCTTTTCTGTTTGGAGTAGGGAGAAGAGAGAGAAGGTCCTTGCAGTGTTTTTATCATGTTAGACGTGTCTTGTCAGAGCTGTTTTGCTGTTTTGCTAAAATATTCATTATCGTGTGCCTTTATATTAAGTGAGACAGAGGTTGCTGAAACACTTTTGTTTTCTATGAGCCTGAAATCCCTCTAAACATGGACAGAGAAATAGGTCAATCAGCATTTAAAGCAAAAGCTAGGTTAACACTTCAGTTAGTTACAGTGAAATCTCACAACCTGAGTGTTCTCTCTCAGATGCCTAGTGACCTATTGTCAAGTCTCAAGTATTTTCTGTGCAAATTGGCTGCCACATTTGCCAAAAAATATACTTTACAGAAAACTATGTGAAGCACCCTGAGACATTCTCGATGTTGCAGGCGTTTTACAAAACGCAAGAATTATTTATTATTATTTATTTATTACACGATAAAGAGTAATGTAAGAATATAGGGGCCTAAAATACATTGCTTAATTGGATTCCTTAATAAGGAATCTGAATTGCATAAATAAGGAACTCCTTCCATTAACCAGACGTATGTCAATTGATGCACAGGAACTTCATGCCAGCAGGATTTATGTCAGCAAGATTTCTTATTCAAGACTAAAGGAATCTTGCATTTTAGACCCCATGGAGTAAAACTCTTATACAAGTGAGAGTAATATATTATTAATAATAATAATAATCCTTGCATTTGATACAGCGCATTATCACATCATTGAGACATCTGAAAGCACTTTACAAGATATACTGTAAAGTGGAGTGACTGCGTGGGTTTCGTGGGCGAACCCAATTTGCGTACAGCAAGGTCATGAAGGGAATGACCAATCTTATTTCGGAGATTGTTGGTCAGGACATCGGGAGAAACTTCCTTCTCTTTTCGAATAGTGCCAGGGAATTTTTAACATCCAGGCAGACAGCACCTTGGTTTAACGTTGCATCCGAATCCCCCAGCTCACAGACATCTGCGGGTCGATTATATCTCTGAACTAACAAATGAAAGTCACCAACGGCAGTGAAACATCAGTGTTTGTAAGGCGACAAATCTCAATTCAGTCTTTCATTTTCAATTTTACTTTCAAGTTGAAAATATCTGTCTGTTGTGTTACAGTACAACAGCTTTGAACAGCTCTGCATCAATTTCACAAATGAAAAACTGCAACAGTATTTCAACCACCACATGTTTGTCCTGGAGCAGGAAGAGTATAAGAAGGAGGGCATTCAGTGGGAGTTCATTGACTTTGGACTTGATTTACAGTCTTGCATTGATCTAATAGAAAAGGTATTTATGTACAAACGGGAATCGTTATGGTTCTACCTTTTTCTATCCTATTTTTCTCCTAAACAGGCCTCCATATTATCACTGGGCAAATAAGGATAAACCATTTATTATTATTAATATTCTCAGGCTGCTATTATTCTGCGTCTAACTAACTAAAGCTGCTAAAAAGAAAAACAAGAACTGATTAAAACATCCTCAGGATCCTGGCATGAGTCAAGCAGATTAAGTTAATGCGGCTGCACTCTTTAATGTACTTCACTTAAGTCAGGTCCTGCAGTCACATAGTTGTGACAAGACTCGTTTGCTATTGGGATAATGAGTTATTAACGTGAAATATTGTTATCCTTTAATGGCTTGTATTGCTTTTGGACAGCCCATGGGAATCATATCCATCCTTGAAGAGGAATGCATGTTTCCAAAAGCCAGTGACACAACCTTCAAAGCCAAGTTATATGACAATCACCTTGGAAAATCAGCCAACTTCCAGAGGCCAAGACCTGACAAGAAAAGGAAATACGAGGCTCACTTCGAACTTTGCCATTATGCTGGTGTGGTAAGTATGTCTTACATTCAGAGTCAATCGAGTTGATTTTGCAAAGGGCAGAAGGTTTACAGGCTTCGGTGGACAAGAACGTCTTATTGCGGTCCCACAAGCTACGCAAAGTGCTTTGTGCAAATCCTACTCTACTGATGTGAAAGGCGCTATATAAATGTAAATTATTGTTGCTGTTATTCTCTGCTGGTTTTTAAGTTTACGGACCGAGAAAATATGAAATTATAATGTTTTCTGTAAAGCGCATTTTTTGGCAAATGCGGCAGACAATTTGCAGAGAAAATACTTGAAATGTGCAATAGGTCGCTAGGCATCTGAGAGATAACACCTCAGGTTGTGAGATTTCACCGGAATTAACTGACGTGTTAACCTAGCTTTTGTGTTAAATGCTTATCAACCTATTTTCTTGGTGCTGTCATTTTATGGGGAGGGAAGGATCCCATTTCTGAGATCACTCCATATGGTCATGGATAGTGGGAGATAAGATGCTCTTAGACATCAAGAAATGTAAAACTTACTGACCTTCACACAATACTCTCTTACAGTTTTATTAATTGTTTTATATGGTGCAAAATATATAATCGTGTTTAAACCGATATTTATAATAAAGGGTACGCATTGAGAAGATATTTTATTCCACAGTTTTATCAGAACATATTTGGCCTGCTATTATTTCTTGAATTTTACAGAAAATCCTTCTATTGAAATAAACAAAGAATCTGCCAATTACACCAGAGGGACAAACAAAATATTTTACATTTGTTGAGATATATATGAGGTGAATGCTAAATATTCCATTCCAAAGAAGAGCAGAAGGTCTTTCGGTGCCCTGACCAATGTTCCTCGTCCAAATGGAAAAAGAATACAAATTAATTATTGATTCATGTTTTACACTAATTTGTGGGGCATTATTGATGTAAATTAGTTATCTCCATTTGCTTGCATAACAAGCCATTAGACATCATTGAGTGAAGTTACTTAAACATTTTGATATGATAATGTGTTTTATCAAAGGCAATCATTCATTTCAGTATAGAGTTAATTATACAAATCTAAGCGGTAGAAATTCCATTCAGTATTAAAGGCATCTTCTTTGGTGATCCTGGCGTTTAGGTAATAGGATTTCATATTGTTATTATTACACATTACCAAAAGCTTTGTGTGTACTGCTGATTGGAAGTTTTAGCCATGAAGGTTAAACCTATGCAAAATAGCCTGACAAATTTTCCCATTGTTTTTAAGGTACCGTACAATATTGCTGGTTGGCTGGAAAAAAACAAAGATCCTCTGAACGAAACGGTGGTGGCATTATTTCAAAAATCATCCAACAAGCTACTTGGGAGTATCTTTGAAAATTATGTCAGTTCAGACAGCAGTGAGTATGAATTCTTAAGCGTTCATTTTATAGACTTGATAAAATCTTCCAAATAGCGATTTATTGTAGCTCAGTACTTTCCAACACTATTTTGTTCACTGTGAGCTTTAGACTCCTGTAGATTCTTCTTTAGGAATCAGAGTAACAGCAATTGTGTTTCATGAGCTGAGTAAATATATGTGGGTTTATGCTTTTAGGGGCTTTTTATGATGGTTTAGTGTAATACTTTATGTAGTGTGGATTCTTTCCCTACAAGGCTTCCAGTATCATGCAAGGATTACTATTATAATAATTTCTCCATGGCAATTAAACTGGAATTCTGCCAGAATTTGCCACTTTTTCGATATGTAAATAAAATAGCCGCCTTTGTTAACCACATTTACAGAGGACAATTGGTCACCAACAATATTGCAAAAGGTGAGCACCTGAATGTTCCAGGAATAGGTTTTGATATCACGTTTATTGTTTGTGCAGTATCACAAAAAACGAAAGTTCAGTTCAAAGTTTGTGTTTCTCAGCAGGGAGCTAGTGAATAGGAATTCTTTATGAATAACAGGATTGGGCCTATCAGGAAGATAGCAGTAATACCAATATATATTCTAGTTGTTTGTAATTTGTAACGACTGGTTGTGGGACACTGCTGTGCGCAATTGGCTGCCACGTTTCACCCCAAAAATATACAGTCTTTGCAGTATATTCTCCATGAAGCGCTTTGAGATGTGTCAAAGACGTGATAAGGCGCTATATCAAACGCAAGGATTATTATTATTAATATAATAACACACAGATCAGCTCAATCAATCTTGGTGATAGTTATGATCAGAGTTGTGTTCCGTAGAAATTACAGGGGATACATTTTGGATTTGTTTTTTATTAAATCTAAACAACAATGGGATTTCATTTTTCATATTTGCTTTAAAGGTGATTTGTGATTTTTGATAATTTGTGATAACAAAAAGTGATAATTGTGTGAATGAATCTGGGGAGGCCGCTTTTTGGCTTCGAAAACGGACCGTTTTTTTTCAAGCTGATGTTTTTTCAAGCTGGTGGGACTCAGAGTTTGAGTGCAACATTTTCACCTTTCGCAAAATGTGGAAAGTGGTTTCTCCAAGCTTATTTACAGGTTACTCTTCTAACTCAGAATTAACTTGAAAAATGTTTTCTTGGTTCAGGTGTTGTGGTGCCTGGGTTGTAATGGACTAGATTACGTTCCCACATTGCTGTTTCGCTGGAGGTTACGGATGTTCTAACTGTATACGACTTAGCTGTAGTTTCAATCAAACTGAATGTTCATTGTTCACCCTTACCGAGGTTTGAACAAAACGTAACAATATAAGTGTAATCAGAGAAGAAACGTGTTTGTTGAATTTTATTTGGGTGTTATTGTACTTCTCCCTAAAACAAATCACTTACTTTTGACATTTAATCAGATCAAACTGGTGACAAGAAACGAAAGAAAGGAGCATCCTTCCAAACTGTGTCATCCTTACATAAGGTGAGGTGCTCTTCACAAACGTAATCTTGATAACTCTTACTGAGAAAGGAACCCAATTGTTTATTTCAATTTGATGAATTTCAGGAAAATCTCAACAAACTCATGACCAACCTGAAATCAACAGCACCACATTTTGTTCGTTGCCTCATTCCTAATGAAACAAAGACTCCAGGTAAACACTAAGAACTGTTCCATCCTCTGGAACTTCATTTACACTAAAAGTAAAGTTACTTTAAACTGTCGGGTTATAAAACCAGAATAAAAGCTAATTTTCTCGGGATTGATATTCGTGAATTGAGTGGAATCTGAGGTATTCCAGAAATAAGGACAACACTGTTTTTTCAAGAAACTATATTACCTCATGAGTTGGAGGATAGTACTGCCCTTTTCTGTCATCATAACCATAGCTTGTCTTTGGTGTTGAAGGTGCTATGGATGCATTCCTGGTGCTCCATCAACTCCGTTGTAATGGTGTCCTGGAAGGAATCCGCATCTGCCGCAAAGGGTTTCCAAACAGGGTGCAGTACGCTGATTTCAAACAAAGGTGAAGCTCTGTAAAGACATGTTCTGTAGTTATATGAGTTACCTGTTCACAGTAACACTAGCTGCACTGTGTTACTAGTGGAATCATATCGTTGTGACTTTATTCAATCTGGCTCATATTCTACTGAATATTGTTCATTGTCGGGTTAATGAATCTGGTGACGTGTATGTAGAATTACAAATTCTTGCAACTTCACAATATTTTTTATCAAACAACTCTTTTAGACCCTCACATTTAGAGTCTCAATATAATTCAGAGGAATAACAATACTGCCTTTTCCCCATCAACCTTTGAAAACAAGATGTATGTGATAACTATGCAGTACAATTTAATGGCAAAATGATTGCATAAATAAGGAATCAGGCATATGCACACAAGGAAAATGGATTATCCTACAGTGCTTTATTGGTTTGTGATATTGAAAGCTCTTGAGGATGTGATATGTTAAGTATTAAGTATTGTATGTTCCACAAGGTTGTAATTCCTCAAAGACTTGAAGAGAATCCAAGTATAACAACGGCTGATTTCACTGAGTGTATGCATTGCTAGGTCCTGTAGCTCAGTGTGCATTGTGGAGTTGTGTTGCTCAGTGGTTTTAGTGCTTGCTTCGCAAGCGAGAGACCTGGGTTTGATTCCCGGCAGGGCAAAACCTTGGGCAAGTTGCCTTACTCCACACACATGATAATAATCCCTCAAGAAAAAAAACAATAAATTGGTCACTTCAATCCACCACTGTTTGTGGGACACTGCAGTGCGCAATTGGCTGCCGTGTTTCGCCCACAAAATAACAGTCATTTCACTTTACAGCATATTCTGTGAAGAGCTTTGAGATGCCTTGAAGGTGTTGGATAAAGCGCTGTATCAAATGCAAGGATTATTATTATTATTATTTTTAGAAAATGTTAAAACAATCTATTATTTTCGATAGATATCGTATATTTGAACCCCAGCGCAATTCCCGAGGATACGTTTGTTGACAGTAGAAAAGCAGCTGAAAAGCTTCTGGACTCCCTTGACATTGATCACATGCAATACTGCTTTGGACACACCAAGGTGAGGAGCTTACGGCAACAATCTATCTTCATAATAGCTGAGATGCTCGAGAGGGAAGGACAATGAAATCACAACATATTTCTTCAAAGAAGGGGTTGTGAGAATGAATGGAATTTACTTCTACAGAAAGCTGTAGATGCAGAATCCAACAAAGTGTTTTTAAGAGGAGATAATGGTGTTAAAGAGCATGGAGAAAACCTGGGGAAATTAAGACTAATTAAGAAATTAAGACTTGCCATGAGCTAAAACATGGGTCGGATTCACTACTGCTGTTTCTATATTCCTAAATTCACCATGCAGGCTTCTCTCTTTTAAAGAATGAGGATATTTTCCTGTTCTCCTCGGAATCCTGTAGCTTAGTGGTTAGAGCACTCACCTCGCAAGCGACAGGATCTGGGTTCAATTTCCGGCAGGGTGAAACTTTGGGCAAAGTTACTCCACACGCTTCTGTTTATCTAGCAGTAACTAGGAACCCAGTTGTTAGTCGATTGGAGCATCACTTTTCCGGGGGTAATAATTTCTTCTGAATAAATAATAATGATTTGGTCACTCAATCCACGACTGTTTGTGGAACACCTCTGCGTGCGGTTGGCTGCTGTGTTTTGCCCACAAATTATACAGTCAATTGACTTTACATTATATTCTGTGAAGCGCTTTGAGACGTCTCGAAGATGTGATAAGGCTCCATATCAAAATGCAAGATTATTATTATATTTTTCACGAAGGGGAAGATCTCTTTTAAAGGCTGAGACTGACAGATTTTTTTAAAAACAGAGGCATTAGGGGATATGGGGATAGTGCAGGTAATTAAAGTTAGGTCAGAAGATCAGCCATGATGATAGTGGGGCAGGCTCGAGGGGCCGAATGGCCTACTCTTGCTCCTAATTCTTATGTTCTTATCACATATGAAGAGTCCTAGGAAACAGATGGGGTAAAATTAGATAGATGGTGCCTTACTTAATGTCACATTTTAGAATGTCCAGAGTTTGACAAATTGTTGAACTCAGCTTTAATTTTGAAGCTGGTTTCATGTAGTTTTTAAAAGAAACTTATCATAGAACCAGTTTCAAAGTTAAGGCCACACTTAAGAATTTGCCAAATTCTGGACTTTCTGAATGCAACATTAATAGAATAAATTCAGACCCAAGTGGAATTTCTACCCAAGAGTTCATCCTGCAAAGTGAAAAGTTATTGTATGAATTGACCGTGTCATTTCATGGACTGTTTTGTTTTGAAGGTGTTTTTCAAGGCAGGTCTACTTGGCCAACTTGAGGAGATGCGAGATGAAAGACTTGCAAAAATCCTGACCATGATTCAGTCCAGATCAAGAGGCAGATTGATGCGCATTGAATTTGAAAAGATTATACAACGAAGGTAATAGCAAAGATAACCAAGTGTTTTCCAATGACAGTCAAAGCCTGATAGAAATTAATCTTTAGAATATTTGATAATGATCCTGCCTTATTACACCTATCATATCCTGAGCTAATAGGAAGATTTACCATATTTTTGAACATTGTGCATGAGTACACAACACACTCACCTTCTTTGTTATATGATCCGCATGGTTGCAATTCCTCAAAGACTTGAAGAGAATCTAAGTATAACAGCAGCTGATTTTACTGAGTGTGTGCATTGCTAAGTCCTTAAATATTGACTGAAGCTCATCTATGAAAGAGATAGATACTAGGGAAATAGTGATATTAAGCGTGTGTAAAAGGGCCTAAACAATCTACTGTTTTCTAATAAACTGGTAGATTCAATCATTGGACTTAATAGCCTCTCTTTATTCTGATGTTTTTAATCGTCTGAGATTTAGAATTGAAAACATTTCGGTATCTTGCACTTTTTAATGATATTACTGTACAACATTAATTTATTTAAGGATGGGTAGAATACATTTGGAATATGCTTACAACTCTTTGTTCCTTTAAACAGGGATGCTCTGCTGGTTATCCAGTGGAACATTCGTGCGTTCATGTCTGTTAAGAACTGGTCTTGGATGAAGCTGTATTTCAAGATCAAGCCATTACTGAAGTCGGCTGAAACAGAGAAAGAAATGGCAACTTTGAAGGAGGAATTCCTGAAACAGAAGGAAAATTTGGAAAAGTCAGAAGCAAGGAAGAAGGAATTAGAAGAAAAACAAGTCGCTCTTATCCAAGACAAGAATGACTTGTTACTTCAACTTCAAGCTGTATGTGGGGTTTTAGCTCACCTTGTTTCATTCTTGTTAGCTATTTGTATTAGATCTGTAAATGCAATACAATCCTATTCATTTGTATGTGTGTACATGTAAACTTATATGTGCCTAACTGAGGCTAAATAGAACTCTAATACCATGCAAAAATGAGCATCGTTCAACAAGGCATGACTAGTGAGCACTGTTACTTTGTGATAGATAAATAGACATATTGGGAACTGGGTTGCATTGGAATAAGTATAGAGTACAAATCAAGAGAGGTTGTGAATTGTTGTTTTATAAGGCAAACCCATGCTGCCTGCCGTTATAGTTACCTAGTCATAGAAATTATATAACTGGCAACTTGGAATATAATTTCATCACAAGGGTATGGATGCATTATAAAAATTATAATGCATCCATACCCTCAAGATTATAAGAAGGGTTATTTATATAAGTTGACATAGGCACTTAGCAAAGGATTCATATAAGCATGACAGACAACATGACGATTAGCAGCAGATAGAAGGGAAGTTAGGACTACCTTTGTATCTGTAGAGAAAGTACTAGTGTGAACCATTGCAGTAGTTAGAAAACATGGACTCGAGAGACAAGTAGGTAATTTTTCTGGAGAGAGAAGAGATTGAGGATTGCTGTGAAGGCAGGTTGGTGAGGTTCGGAATCAAAAGGGAATCAGATTGTTGATTCAATCTAAATATTCTAATGTTCTTCCTATATTTCAACAGGAGCAAGATACACTGACAGATGCAGAGGAGAGGTGTGACCTTTTGATCAAATCCAAAATCCAGCTTGAAGCAAAGGCCAAAGAGCTAACAGAGCATCTGGAAGATGAAGAGGAAATGAACTCGGAACTAACTGCTAAAAGCGGAAGCTGGAGGATGAGAACTCGGAACTCAAGAAAGATATTGATGACCTTGAAATAACATTGGCAAAAGTTGAAAAAGAGAAGCATGCAACTGAAAATAAGGTATAAAGCCATGGATTTTATTTTGAATTGAATAGTGTATTTGAAAACAAATTCAAATTAATAAAGATGTAAACTTATCAAGGGTAATATTGATCACACAAGATCAATAGGTATGGATGAATAAGGCTCTTTGGCCTATTTGATTTTATCCTTCCAGAATACCCTACCATCCTCCTATTACAGCATCACGCTGTTTCTTAAATGAGTCCAATGCCATTAGCTTAACCACGCTTCCTGTAAAGACATTCTATTTAGTTGCTCTCCTTGAAAAGAAATAGTTCTTGGTGTCTGTCTTGGTAGTTACAAACCTATGTCCTCTTATTTTGCTGCTATGGTGTAAATATGTCAGCCTGGCTCAATTGGTAGCACTCTCACCTCTGAATCAGAAGGTCGTGGGTTCAAACACCATGTTGGGACTTGGAACTCATTTTGTCTGACTCTTAGCTGACATCCTGAAGCAGTGCTGCATTGTTGGAGGTGCTGTCTTTTGGATAAAACATTAAACCAAGGCCCCATCTACCTATTCAGGTGGATGTTAAAGATTCCATGGCACAACTTAAAACAAGGGAGTTTCCCCTAGTGTCCTGGCCCTAAACACAATTTTTCATTCCCTTCATGGCTGGGATATTGCTGTGTGCAAATTGACTGTTGCATTCACTCACAAAAACCATACATTCACTTTACAATATATCCTGTGAAGTGCTTTGGGACATCCTCCAGACTTGAAAGGCATCATACCAAATGTAAGGATTATTATTATTATCTGAAAGTAACACTTAACACTGGTACATTAATACACTACAGGTCAAAAACCTAACTGAGGAAACGGTGGTACTTGATGAAAGCATTAGCAAACTAACCAAGGAAATGAAATCTGTACAAGAAGTGTACCAACAGGTTTTGGATGACCTACAAACAGAGGAAGATAAAGTCAACACTCTGACGAAGGCAAAATCGAAGCTGGAACAACAAGTAGATGACGTAAGCTCATTGGCCCCCAAGATAATTATTTTGTCTTAAATATTTATTTTTTACTGATTGCAAGGTTTAGAAAAATATATTGGGGGCAGTTCAGAGAACATAGCAGCAATAATAACCATTTGTGTTGGGTCAGTTTTACACAGAATGGTGACCCTCTACTGGAAAATGGGTGCGTGTGGACATTGGGTGCAGAAAGGATTGGGACCAGCTGTGATGCCACCCAACATAGCTCGCCAACACTAATCTGCACTCACATATATTCCGCTGTTGAAGCAGAGTTCATAAATCCTTTTGGAAATGAATTAGATGCACACTTAAAAAAGAGGTACATTTGAAGGGCATGGATAGGAAATGGGTTTAGGTGGTTCATGAGGAGACAAAAAAACAGTAACGGCTTGAAGGGTAGTTTATGTGCTGTAAATTCCATGATTCTGTTCTAAAAACAGACTCATTCTTTACAATATAAGACCTGTCACATCACATGCAAGAACAGCTATCACCACAAACTGATTGTACTATATATCTAACAAGGAACAGCCTCTGAAGGGCAGCTTCAGTGGTACAGATTTCCTGCAGTGCTGAACGGGTGGAAAAGCATCTGATGCCCAAAGCAATCGAGTAGCTTTCTTACCAAGTGAGGACACCGAATACAATCGCTTTTCTGGTCTGAAAAAATCCTTTCTTGTTTTCTAGCTTGAAGGATCCCTTGAACAAGAAAAGAAAGTTCGAATGGACTTGGAAAGAGCCAGGAGGAAGCTGGAAGGTGACCTAAAGTTGACCACGGACAGCCTTTTGGATCTGGAGAGCGATAAACAGCAAATGGAGGAGAAGTTAAAAAAGTAACTATCAGAACACAAAAATACACTGGGCATCTACAAAACAAGTGACAAATTTCATTTACACATCAATAGGCTTAAAGCACTTTGACAGTAATTATTGTTAAGGGCAGCGACTTTTTTGTTGGCAAACAAAAAGTCAGAGAATTGAATAAGCAATACAAATGACAATGATTCACTGCATTAGATGAAGCAGAGAATTTTCAAACCATGGTAAGACTGCTGTCCTATTTAGTCCTGTTACTCAGCCTCCAATTTCACTTGTTTTTTAGGTCATTATGCCATTGCTAAACCCACTTGCTTGTCTGCTTTTATTGTGATCACGTGTGGGTTTTACACACGACCCTTTCCCTAAAACAACACTTTCCTCAGTATAAAGTCGTTTTCACCTTTGCTCCCAAGAGTACTTCTATATCAAAGGGATTTAGCTTGAATTTAGCACTTATGAGCAAAAGGAAAAAGATGTAAGAATTCATTTGGAGCAGAGTTTTCTATTGCTGCTATCATTGTAAAACCCATTACTGACTAAATGAAAAAAATCATACCTACATCCTTTCTGTTGACCTACATATTATCTTTCATACGTCAACCTTGTGCATTCTGAGCTGAAGTTATCTAATACAGTGAGTGCAACTTTCAGTGAATAGTCTGTTTAGCCACACTATAAAACTATAGCAATACATTCACAAATGCTATATTACCAGTTTATCGCTATCATGAACAACAGTATTTCTTAACTGTGTAAGGTGCATCGGGAGTTTAGACTTGTGGATTCATTGTAACGACCAGTATAAATAAACATGCATTACCATGAAAGAGAAAATCATTCAATATCCCTCTTTTGAGTATGGCAACACGTTGACCTATTTGTAATTGGCAGTGCACCTTAGTAAGGCGTGTTTGACTTGGCATAGGTCAAGTGGTCTAATAATGTGCTGTAGCAATGGTACATGTCTGATCACACCGCTTGAACTATTGAGTATTGCACAGTAGCAGCAAGCAACCACAATAATATCATTGTTGATGGATATTAATTACCGGATCGATTCCACAATCTGTTGCTTGTGGTTTTTGAAGCAAAGTCACTTGAGAAACATGTTGTATGACACCTTTATTCAAATGCCCTTGCTGCAGTTTTGAATGTTGCAAATACCCAGCACAATATCTGCCAGTAACCTGTAAGAATAAATGACAGAGGATTATCGACGGCAAATCCATTACATGAAAAGCCTCCCACCTCTTCCCAGCTGTCTGGGGATATACGTTAGACCTTTCTACAGCTGATACAAGTCTCCTGTAGATTTTAGTAAAGTCAATAGATTGGGTTAGATGGGCAATTTAATACTTCTCAGCTCTGGCGCCCTCTGGCGTATTAATCTTGGGAGCAAATTACATTCTGTTGGGATTATCCTTATCCAAGTAAAATATGGTCAGTACTGAGGTGGGTCTGGTGCAAAGAACAATTGTCATGAAGATTGCAGCATTTTTTTTAGAAATGATATCAATTATGCTTTACAGAGTGACAAATTGTAACATGGAAGAAATCCATTTCCTGACCAATAGCACATTTTCATAAACCTTATCATATTGCTTGCAGAACAGTAGAGACTGGAAATTACATATGGATTCAAACAGATATATATGTGTATATTATATACACAGGTTAGCAGCAAATGATCAAACTCGTTGTCCTTTATTTGAAGGACTGTGAAAATAATGTAAGGAATATAAGGAATTAAAATTTTCTTGAGCTGATTTTTCTATTTCTATATTGTTTTTACAGGTTCAGATCAAATGAAAAGCAATCATTCACCATTGCTTTCTTCTATTACATGTTTTTTAGTTTTTTTTAAGTTAATGTTGTACCATTTTCTTCTATGGACGTTGGAAATTGGAACAGGATTGTCTTAGGCTACCTTATTAGGAATGAAGAGCTGATTTAATCAGTCATTTGAAGCCTGAGAATTGATTATTTGAGTCCCTGTTGTCTCTTTACGGGTTATTGAACCACTATTATATAATGGCAGAATTTTTGTTGCATGTTTCTATTGAAAAAAACATTCTGCATTAGAGAAATATGCAGTTACAAAACAATAATAATAATAATAATAATCCTTGCATTTGATATAGCGCTTTTCACGTCGGGAGGACGTCCCAAAGCGCTTCACAGAACACACTGTAAAGTGAATTGACTGTATATTTGTGGGCGAACGCGGCAGCCAATTGCGCACAGCAATGTCCCACAAACAGTCGTAGATTGAAAATGACCAATTTATTATTGTTTTTGGTTTTGGAGGGATTATTATTAGGTGTGTGGAGTAAGGAAACTTGCCCAAGGTTTCGCCCTCTGCCTGGAATTGAACCCAGGTGTCTCACTTGCAAAGCGAGTGCTCTAACCACTGAGCTACAGGACTCCAATGTTTAAATTGCACTATTCAGAGAATACAGTAAACATTTGCAATCTTTGTAATACAGTTGAAATTACATTGCAGCTCTCAACTGTAATTTGCATTTGCTTATTCCCCAACCCGCCCACCTCCACTGCCTCCACTCGACTGTCTCCTTGTGCCCTCCCACCACCATCGGTGGCTGCACTTTCAGCCACTGTGCCCTGAAACTCTGGAACAATCTTTCTCTATCCACTTTGCCCTATCCTCAGGCTGCACCTGAAGACCTTCCTCTTCGACCACCTCCACCTGGCTCAGCGTCATGGGACACTATCCTACATTATGGGTGCTATACAAATGCAAGTTGTTGTTGCACACTAATGCTATCACATGACTGACATTTCTTTAACACAGTGGATTTATTCAATTTTTAGAGAATGTTATGTTCGCCAGACTGCATTTCAGTAAAATCTCTGCTTTTCTCTCACAACAGAAAAGAGTTTGAAACTAACCAGCTCAATTCTAAAATTGAAGATGAGCAGGCTTTGGTCAGTCAACTTCAAAAGAAGATCAAGGAGTTGCAGGTAAACTAGACTACTGGGTCTAACTTGTGATATTTCTTAACCGGATTCCTTAATCCAGAATCCCGAGAACGTACATCTGTTTTAATATACATTTCCCATGAGTGTATTTTGTAAGACTGGCTTACAATATGCAGCTAGTGGGTTGAGAAGAATGTGATGTTTGAAATGGCACTTAGCGCTAGTGATACTTGTCTCTTTAATTACAAATGCGGTCAAACCTGTTGGTAATTCTTTTTGGTGCAATGCTTGAAGATTGTCAGGGGCTTCCTTTGCTGTCCCCAAACCTGCTAATACATGCCATTGTTGCTGCCATTTGCTTATTATTAAAATCAGTAACCCCAGAAGTGGCATACAGATATAGTCAGTGACATCAAAATTGGCTGTTGGAATCTTTGGGCCAAAATGTTTATGCAATGTCAGGAGGTGTGTGCATTCAAGGACCAGTCTATAATCATCAACCAGTTTGACCACAATGAAAGACAATGTAACAATTAGCACTCGTGATGATTATCACATCACATGAGGCATTCTTCATGCTGTTCTCTTGACTTTGTGAGTCGCTGTGATATATTTGAACCATTAATATAGTGCCCCTCACGCAGGGTAGCATCCCAGAGCGCTTGCATCTTTCTGGGGGTAATAATCCCTTAAAATAATAATTATTTGGTTACTCAATCTATGACTGTTTGGGGGATACTGCTGTGTGCAATTGGCTGCCGCGTTTTGCCCCCCAAAATATACAGTCAATTCATTTTACAGTATATTCTGTGTAACACTTTAGGATGTGCCCAGCTCCTCGGGACGTCCTGCCGACGTGAAAGGCACTATGCAAACGTCATTTTGTTGTTGTTGCTGTTTGTTGTCTCAACAACGCGATGAGGCGCGATATCAAATGCAAGGATTATTATGATTATTTCAGGCCCGTATCGAGGAGCTTGAGGAAGAGTTGGAAGCAGACAGAGCAATGAGGGCGAAGGTGGAGAAGCAGAGGTCTGAACTGTCGCGAGAGCTGGAAGAGCTGAGCGAACGATTGGAAGAAGCGGGCGGAGCCACATCCGCCCAGGTGGAGATGAATAAAAAACGAGAGGCTGAGTTTTTCAAGTTGCGTCACGACCTGGATGAATCCACGCTGCAGCACGAGGCGACCATGGCAGCCTTCAGGAAGAAGCACGCTGACAGTGTGGCCGAGCTGGCCGAGCAGATAGAGAACCTGCAGCGAGTTAAGCAGAAACTGGAGAAAGAAAAGAGCGAACTTAAGATGGAAGTAGACGACCTGGCATCAAACGTTGAACAAGTCACCAAGGGCAAGGTATAAAGTTTGTGACCTAATGCTTACCTCTGATTCAGCATTCATAGACTGAGACTGTACAGTTGGAAAATGTAGAAGAAATTACGAAAGTAGCTTTGGGTTAAAAATTGTGGTATGCTAATCACGGTTTTCAATCACATTCCTTCTCCTGTTTTAAGGAACAAAGTTAAAATGTGTTTTGAATTCCAGCCAGACCTAATAGCCTTGCATTTGATACAGCGCTTTATGACTTTTAAATCTGCGCTTCACAGTAATTGTTCTTGAGAGCAATTGGCTGTTACACTTACCCGAACCTCATTTTTATGTATTGTTCGAAGGACGGTACCTCCTTTGGAGTGTCAGGGTAGACTATGAATTAAGTAATGTCAGGGTAATGCTAGCCCACAAGCAAATCTACACCTTCAACCTTAATGTCCCCAATTAACCGCCGAGGTTTCAGTTCTGATTTGTTTTTCACTTACTGAGGAACTGTTTGTGTTGGTTTTTAATTCGTACAATATCTCCTGTAGGTAAATGCTGAGAAGCTGTGTCGCACCAGTGATGATCAACTCAGTGAAACAAAAGCCAAACTGGATGAACTAACTTACCAGGTTAATGACCTGACAACCCAGAAATCTAGGCTCCTAACAGAGAATGGTAACAACAGAAAAGCTCTTTATTATGAATTATCTGCGTTATTGATATTTGTAACTGTTTGCTGCAGAAATTGATTGAGGGCTGTGAGAGAAAGTGGAGCGAAATGTGAGTTGTGGTAAATATCACACATCTTGACTCCTCACATATAATAATGTTCCAAAGTGTTTCATAGCAACTGGGTTGGGCATGAAGCGAGGAAGAAGAAAAAGGGGGTTTGACCAGCTCAGGTATTGCCTTAGTAACTTATCATAGCGTTTTGCCCACTAAATCTACTTTACAATATATTCTGTGAAACGCTTTGAGATGTCTCAACGACAAGATAAGTCGTTATATCAAACACAAGGATTATTATTATTGTTGTGGAGCCCTGTAGCTCAGTGGTTAGAGCACTCGCAACACAAGCAAGAGACCTGGGTTTGATTCCCGGCATGGTAAGTTTCCTTACTCCACACGCCTCTGTTTAACTAGTAGTAAGTAGGAATCTGGTTGTAAGTCGATTGGCGGATCACTGTTCCGGAGATAATAATTCCAAAAAAAATAATAAATTGGTCACTTCAATCCACAAATGTTTGTGGGACACTGCTGTTCACAATTGGCTGCCGCGTTTCGCCCACAAAATGTACAGTTAATTCACTTCACAGTATATTCTGTGAAGCGCTTCGCAAAGTCTCGAATACCTGATAAGGTGCTATATCAAATGTTATTATTATTATTATTATTATCTCCTTATCCTGTGGCTCTGAGTACTCAGTGTAAAGATTCTGTGAAAATGTGATCCACCTTCCAGGGGAGGTTATCAGGAAGCTTGAGGAGAAGGAATCGCTCATTAACCAGCTGTCAAGAAAAAAGCAATCATTCACTCAGCAGGTTGATGAACTAAGAAGGCAATTAGAAGAGGAAACCAAAGTGAGTAAAATGTCCCTTTTTAGTGGGGGCTTTTGATAATATTGTTTGTTACTTCCCTATTTACTGTGTGCCACTTCATTATTTTTTAACCAAATACTGCAGATGCTGGAAATCTGAAAACAAAAACAGAAGTCGCTGGGAATCCCTCCAAAAACAAAAACAATAATAAATTGGTCATTTTCAATCTACGACTGTTTGTGAGACATTGCTGTGCGCAATTGGCTGCCGCGTTCGTCCACAAATATACAGTCAATTCACTTTACAGTGTGTTCTGTGAAGTGCTTTGGGACGTCCTCCCGACGTGAAAAGCGCTATATCAAATGCAAGGATTATTATTATTATTATCCCCTGTCCTCTACCCCATTTTCTCCTTTGTCTCCCTTGTCCTGCCTCCCCCCTCTCTGTTAGCCCTTAAAAGCCTCTCCCTCCCAACCTGCCCCAGTTCTGACAAAGGGTCGTGGACCCGAAACATTGACTCACTTTCCTTTCTCCATAGATGCTGCCTGACCTGCTGAGTGTTCCCAGCGACTTCTGTTTCTGTTTTTATTATTTTTTAACCTCTGTTTTGCCTTAAGTCTTGAATAAAGGAGTTTTATACCACTCTACTTATGTTTTCTGAAGTGAGACATGCAATGTTGATTCATTCCCAAACCTAATACAATACAATCTCAGACTGCTTCACAGTAATTACTGTCAAGTTTAATAACTTTTTGCTGGCAAACTTGGCAATTTATAGACGACAAAGAGCACTATTCAGCTGGAATGACCTGAACGGTTGAATATTCAGTAGCTCATCTATCTGTGGCCAGTTGACACGATCTACCAACCTACCAGTATCAAAAGCTCCAAGAGCTGAATCCGTCTTTTACTTTTCCACTCACCGGGATTTTTATGTCGTTAGTTCAAGTCCTGACCCCTGCGTAGCTAACTAACTTGTCTCTTTTCCAGGCTAAGAATGCCTTAGCTCATGGGATGCAAGCTGCCAGGCATGACAGCGATCTGCTGCGTGAACAGTATGAGGAGGAGCAAGAAGCCAAGGGGGAGCTTCAGAGAACTTTATCCAAAGCGAATGCTGAAGTAGCTCAATGGAGAAACAAATACGAAATCGACGCTATTCAAAGAACAGAGGAACTGGAAGAGGCAAAGTACGAGCTAAACTAGGTGTTACAACAGAAGCCCAAACTCAAGACACAAAAAATATAGAAATATGCCCTCATCTTCTACTAAAAGTTAAGAGCAGTGTAACATAATTGAAGTGGTGTTTCACACACCTGGGGCAACAGAAGCAAGTTGATCAATGCACATTCTAGTTCTTAAAATGAGGGATCAGTATTATTAGCGCAGACAGAGAAGGGTTAAAAATATCGCAATTTCCAGTCCGTAACTAAACACTGGCTTTGGAACAACTTGTCATTTCACTACACAGGCTTGAACCTACAACCTCCTGTTGTATTCTGATCAAACCTGACCTTCCACTTCGACTGTGCCCTCTCTCTATGGCTCGGCATCAAGCTCGCCCACTGTTAATTGCTCTGTGATACTACCCCACGTAAAGGGCCTATTCAAACGCAAGTTGTTGTTCTTGGAGGTGGAAACAGATTCAATAACAACTTTCAACAGGGAATTCTATAGGTACTTGAAAAGGAAATATTTGCAGGGGTATGGGGAAAGAGCAGAGCAGTGGGACTGATTGGGTAGCTCTGCTGTGCTGTAATATTCTACGATTCTACTAAAATACGATTCTTATGTTCTTTGAAAGGAAAAAGCTGGCCTTGCGGTTACAGGAGGCTGAAGAGGCCGTGGAGGCAGCGAATGCAAAATGCTCATCTTTGGAGAAAACAAAACACAAACTGCAGAGTGAGCTGGAAGATATGGTGGTGGACCTGGAGAGGTCAAACTCAGCAGCCGCGGCACTGGACAAAAAGCAAAGGAACTTTGACAAGATCGTTGCCGAGTGGAAGCAGAAGTTTGAGGAAGCGCAGGTCGAGCTAGAAGGATCTCAGAGACAGGCCCATAGACTGACCACTGAGATCTTCAAACTGAAGAACGCCTATGAAGAGTCTTTGGACAACTTGGAGACGCTGAAAAGAGAGAACAAGAACCTACAAGGTAAAATAAACATTTGAGAACGTGGAAATGTGTCCGAGTGCTTTAAGAATCAGAATCATAGAAAATTACAGAGCAGTAGGAGGCCATTCAGCCCATCAAGTCTGCACTGGCCTTTAGAGCAAGCTGTTCTTTCCATCGCATTGCTCTGTCCAATCCACCACACACATTCTAAAATTCACGAGCGAGCAAAGATCAGCAAAATTCTTGAAATCAGGTGTCAATTTTGAAGCTGTTCATTCCCGCGGCTGTCATTAAAATCTCTAAGATTTAGAAAAGCTTACAGGAAAAGTAACAAACAAAATCATAAGATACTATACATTATTTAAAAACATTTTGGAGCCTTTACGGTGAATATTGTATAGAAATAAGTATATTCTTCTACAGACAGTATTTTGTTCTAAATAGATATCTAGTAAAACTAAAAACCATAGCGAAATGTCATATTTGTGTGCGTAGCTGGAATAAGTAGTCAATTTTCTGCATTGTCTGGGCTCACTGGTTATAATGTATGCTACACTGTATGTAATGTAGGGACCTTATCTCAAAGTTGATCCCAATGATAACCTCACCAATATGTTCAGTGATTATCTTCAATTAAGTCTCTTGTAATCACCCTGCAGGAATAGTCCTGTGATAAACTATGCAGCCGCTCATTTTGTTGTATGTTGAAAAGGTCGTTCTTGTATTGACAGAAGAGATAACCGATCTGACAGATCAGCTGAGTGAAGGAAACAAAAATCTGCATGAAATTGAAAAGGTGAAGAAGCAATTAGAGCAGGAAAAGATAGAGGTCCAAACAGCCCTGGAGGAGGCAGAGGTAAGCAAATTAAATAGTGCCTTTCATCGAATCATAGAATATTACAGCACAGAAGGAGGCCATTCAGCTCATCATGCTTGTGCCTGTTCACATCAGGTGGACGTCCCAAAGTGTGGGCAAGCCCGGCAGCCAATTTACACACAGCAATGTTCTACCCTTGGTGGCTTGAATTTATAATGCCATAGGCAAAATATAAGGATATACAAAAGTTGACTGATTGAGACTGGTCCTTCAATAGAACATGTACTTATACTAATACTAATAATTATCCTTGCCACGTCTTTGAGATATCTCAAAGTGCTTCACAGGATACACTGTAAAGTGTAGTGACTGTATATTTTGCGGATATATTTTATATCCCCAAATTCCACCTAGTTTAACACAGGGTACTATATAAATACAAGTTGTTGCTGTATTGTGCGAAGGTACTGAGCCACACATGGTACACTTGACCCTTTTAGTCAATGCTGTGCTGAATAACTTTCAGGCTTCTTTGGAACATGAAAAGAGCAAGACTTTGCACATTCAGCTGGAATTTTCTCAAGTCAAGACTGATTTGGAGAGAAAAGTTGCAGAGAAAGAAGAGGAAATTGAAAACTTTAAGTAAGTTCGGAATTATTTATATCCAAGAAACCTATTCAAATTCTGAAGTTTGTTCCCTATACTCAAATTAAACTTCAACAAAAACAATATTGAATAGGATTTGATGCACAATTGCATGAGTCTTTTTTAAAAAATTAGCAAGAGTGATATCATATCATCAAGTATGGAGTAAAAGTTAGGCTTAATATTGTTCTCTGTTAGTGAGGAAGCCATAGAGTTTCACTGCACTTTTGGTATGTCAGACAATATAATTAAGGGAATCCTGTACTAAGCCCTTTTAAAAAAAAATCAGTTTAAATTGGTAAACAATTTATTTTCACGTACTACTCTTTTCTGTGCCTTATCTCATCATCAAGGTGTTTGAAATCGCTTCACAGGATATCCAGTAAAGCGATGTGACTGTGAACACGGCAGCCAATTTGCACAAAGAAGTGTCCCGCAAACAGCCAGGGAGCGAGTGACCAATTTTATTTGGGGGATTGTTGGCCAGGACACTGGGAGAAAAACGACTTCTCTTTCGCGGGATTAAAATTTGATGTGCAGCATGATAATTATTGCATTGCAAAAGAACTGCGGTCCGGAATGTTCTTTATTTGCTAAAGGATTTTTGATGTGAACACCCCTCCCCCATCCCTACCTCCTCCTCTACCCGGAGTCTTTGCATGATTCCTGCGATTCATTTTGCAGGAGAAATCATCACCGTGCACTAGACGTAATGCAGGCTGCTTTGGACGCTGAGGCGAAGAGCAGAAATGAAGCCCTTCGACTGAAAAAGAAGATGGAGGGCGACTTAAATGAGATGGAACTTCAATTAAATCACGCCAACAGGCAAGCCGCAGAGTCACTGAAAAATGTTCGATACCTTCAAGCTCAGTTAAAGGTATGCTCAACCTTTCTATGCTCTTCCAGCATTGCACATGGTCCTCTCTCAGCTGGGCCTCGCTCCAAATGTGTCTCCTCCTAACTGGGCCAAGCAGTAGAACTCGGGGTAAAATAACTATTTGATTGACCACCCTTACAGCTTTATTTTCAGTCAGCCAGGGGTCTGACATGAGCAGAAACCCAACAGCAACAACAAACTTACATTTATAGAGCACCTTTCACGCTGGGAGGAAGTCCCAAAGCGTTGAATTATGCTTAAGAGTGTCCAGCCCAGACTGAGATTTCCATGCCTCTGTGCCACGTACACATGGAAAATTCTCTGTGTCTAGAATATAGTGTGCACTCTCTCCCCAGAGGGATGCATACTGCTTACCCTATTCCAGAGTGTATTAGGTTCTGGTTGGCAAGAGTCAAGGCTTGGGGACCCCAGAGTGTGCATTCGGGTACTGCTAGAGTTAACCCAGCTAAAACCGCTGGTTTCAGAGCACTGTCTGGCAAGCTTCATACGGCTTGTCTAGCTGGGACCTCCCAACCCGTTAGGTCCTTGACTTGCAAGATTAACAAGAGTTGGGTGGGAAGAATCCCTGGTCCCAGTGCATTTACAGCTAAATGGTGAACAGTAAAACGAAAGGGAAATCACAGCCTTTCATAACAACTCTGAAATCAATGAAACACAGCAGTGACAATTCAATCTGTCGAGTTACTTGACTTTACACAATCATTGTATTGCAGTTAATGGGAGAGAAGTGCTCAGTTCCAGCAGATAGCAACATAAAATAGATGAAGCAAGCCTGAATTATATATACTGTGTTTGGTCGCAGCAACAACTTGCATGTGTGTAGCGCCCTTCATGCGGGGCAGCGTCTCGAGCGTTTAACACTGGTGGAGCCTGATGCCGAGCCAAGTGACTGTAAACATGGTCGAAGAGGAAGATTGTGATCTAAAAGAGGGGAAGGAGGGGGCAAGGCAGAAAGATTGGGGGAGAGAGTTCAAAAGCTTCAGGCCTAATGGCTGAAAGTGTGGCCACCGATGGTGGAGGGGGGGTATGAGGGACATGCAGGAAGCCAGACTTGGAGCGGAAAAACAAAACAAATAGTTTGCACTGGAAGCTGGTTATCATTTTGTCTGAAATTTGTGACTTGCTTGCAATCTGAAAATCTGAAAACTTTGTTCCCAGAAAGGGCTAACTCCTGAATTATTATTTGAAGTACTGATTTAAAACTCTGTGTGCCTATGAACTCATTAGATTACAAGGGTCTGACTAGCTCCTGATTTCTCATCTACAGGATATACAGCTGCAGATGGATGATGTCTTGCATCAAAATGACGATCTGAAGGAGCAGATTGCAATCACCGATAGACGCAACAACTTGCTCCAGGCTGAGCTGGATGAACTGCGGGCCGCTCTGGATCAAACGGAGCGCACCCGTAAATTAGCGGAACAGGAGTTGTTGGAGGCCACAGAACGGGCAAACCTTCTCCACTCTCAGGTGTGATCACGTGGCTGCACAAAGTGCACATTAGGGCCTTTACTCCAACGCACAGCAAACCTGCAGTGGGAGCCTTGGAGACAGCACTTGTTGACTGGACTTTAATTCCTTAACTAGAAACCTACATTCAATCATATCAGTACTTATAGTGTTTTAGGTTTTTTCCTATTGTTGTAGCAAACACAATGTCTGATAAGAAGCACCTTTCATGTCAAGAGGATGTTTCAAAGCACTTCACACAGCATATTTTCTGTATAAGCTGGGGAAGTGGGGAGCTTGGCAGGGGCTGGTGGGGGGATTGGTGTTGGAAGGTGACCGAAGGAATTGATAAGATGGGTCTTCAAGTTATGAATGTGGATTTATTTATGTTCTTCACGAATATTGCTTGGCTTTCAAAACCAGCCTATAAAATGTCGGACCATAACAATTCACTTTACTGTTAGAACACAAGCCTCATCAATCAGAAGAAGAAGCTGGAAATGGACATCAATCAGCTGCAAACCGAGGTGGATGAAGCCATCCAAGAGGGCAGGAACGCTGAGGAGAAGGCGAAGAAAGCCATCACTGATGTAAGACAAGTCTAATCCACTAGATTCCTGAAAAGAAAGATAATACCTCTGTGAATTGGATGGAAAGTAAATAATTGAAATCATTTTCTCTTTGGCCACATTACATACTCTTAAGTATTTAGAAACCTACATTGAGAAAGTGGAGTCTAACACACTAACACTATCGTTTAGTATTTCTTGTAGGAAATCAATGCATTTCTCAATGTTGTTTAGCATCTCACATACCTCTATCAGGTCTGCTTTAATGTGTCTTTTTTCAAGCTTGAAGTGTGACAGTATATGTCGTTGTTTCTTGTATTATCTCTCGAACGCTGAGGATCAGCTTAAGCGCAGTACTCCTGATGTGACCTGATCAGAACATTATTCAACTTTAAGCATATGCTGGGTATCCAAACTCAACTGACTTGGCATGTCCAGTATCCTCTTTGCTTTGTTTATCCCTGACAAATTTTTCACAAGGTTCAGCCATAAGTGAACTAACCACCTAGATCTCTTTCAAACTGCCCCTTAGTAAATTCTAATCCATCAATAGAATACACCAGCCTCCTATTTTTACTTCTTATATGCGGCTTAGTATTTATTACTATTGGTTATCATTTGTCAGTGGTAAGTACAGGTACATATCCTGTCAAGTTTTTCCAAGATCTTTGGCTGTCTCCTCTGATTCCACAGCCTTTTTCCCATCACAGGAGAGATATCAACTTCAAATGTAAGTCAACAAATTCAGGTCATTTATGTATACAAGCAACAGGAGGGTACGTAGAGGAGATAACTGAGACACTCCATTTATTACCTTCCTCTAATTCAACTTAGCTCCCCGTTCAGCTCCCTGCAACTTCTTTCCCTTTACTCATTTACTAATATCGAGAATCAATCTGGGAATTGGGAATTCAAATCAATCTGGAGACATAATTTAGGAGACATAATAACATTAACTCATCTTCAAAAACAGTCATGTGGAGAAAAAACAGCAAATACTTGTGGTAGGGATCAAACAGTCTTTGCTAGTTACACAGGCGTGAATGCTTATGTTCTTTTGCACAAGTGAAAGAGTATCGATGAAACAATATTCTGTTTCATTGGACTTCCATTTAGTTTGTAAACGTCTCACAGGAAGTCTCACTGATTGTTATAAATGAGCACATTTATTGACAGTAAAATTATTATTTACAGCCACAAAGTTTTTGAAATAGCTTAAATTTCACAAGAAAACAAGATTGGTTTGAGTGAAGAAGGCTCTTCGGACCATCTAATCTCAACCCTCCAGAACACCCATCCTGGTAATCTGTTCTCTGTTATTGCTCTCTGTGTAAAGGAAAACTTCCCAGTGTCTGTCAAGAAATTTCTCCTTTACAACTCTAAACCAATGTCCTCTTCATCCTAAACTTTTGATCTGACTTTACTTTTTCAAACCCATTTAAAATGTTAAACCCCGCTATTAGGTCCCCTTAGAGTCATTTTTTTTCTCAAGTTGCCTTCTTTCTCCCAATTAATGTATGGGCCCAAATAGTAACTGTGCACACGTGAAATACAAATGGCATGTGTACAAACATTGTGCTATTCTCAGGCTGCCATGATGGTAGAAGAGCTCAAGAAAGAACAAGACACAAGTGCCCACTTGGAAAGAATGAAGAAAAACATAGAACAAACCGTGAAGGATCTGCAAATGAGACTTGACGAGGCTGAACAATTGGCGCTGAAAGGGGGAAAGAAGCAGATCCAGAAACTGGAATCCAGGGCAGGTTTCACTTATAACTGAGATAAAGGCTGAACATACTTGGACTCTTTTCTCTTGAAAAGAGGAGGGTAAGGGGTGACCTGATAGAGGTCTTTAAAATGATGAAAGGTTTTGATAGGGTAGACATAGGGAAGATGTTCCCACTTGTGGAGGACACCAAAACCAGGGGCCATCAGTATAAATAGTCACAAATAGATCAAATAGGGAAGTTAGAAGAAATTTCTTCACACATAAAGTGTGGGAATGTGGAACATGCTACCACAAGAGGTTGTTGAGGCAAATAGCATAGATGTATTTAAGGGAAAGCTAGATAGGTACATGAGGGAGAAAGGAATAGAAGGTTATACTTGAAGGCTTAGTTGAGGAAAGGCAGGAGGAGGCTCCTGTGGAGCATAACCACTGGCATAGACCAGTTGGGCCGAATGGCCTGTTTCTGTGCTGTATATTCTAATGTATTCTAATGTTTTCTTAGATTAAACATTGGCAAAGCCGCTGAGTTCAGAAAGGGAATTATTGGTTAATGTTTTGGGTGGGACACTTACCTTACGTATATATGTAAGTATGCACGTATGTGGTTGCTCAGATTAAGAGCTCAGATAAGGTTTGGAAACTAGGTTAGTTCTATTTTAAAAGCAAGTGTTGGAGAATTTGTTTTTAGTAAAAGGGTGATAGACCTGGGAACAAACCATTAGCCAGGGCAGATGGGGACAGAAGGAAAACTCTGTAAAATTTGTGAGTTTATAACTATCGGATGTGATAAATACTGCTGGTGCTAATTATCACACGGACAACATTTATAATTGCTTAGTATTTAACACTAAAGAACTATTGGGGGAAGAGAAGGGGGGACTAACTCACCCATCCAGAGAATGGTTTTTCCCTCTGCTTTTCTTTCAGATCAATCGCTGTCTTTTTTGTTAAGCGTGGGATCTTAAATTTTAAATTATTGTAGACCCTTCAGTGTCTTTAAAACTTTTTATTTGGTTTAATGTTTATTTTCTGGACACGTTTTCTGATCAGGTCTGAAGGGTCCTTTGGTTATGGTAGAAAATCGACTTCCAAATTAAGATCGAATTTTAAAACCGTCTTTCAAAATTTCACATAAGCCTAAACTTTGAGAAATGGTCTTTAGCTTACGAATATGAGAAATTTCTGGCCTCTGGTCCAATCCCAATGAGTACATTATTTGTCTCCCAGAAAGTTTTTACATTTCAACCTAGCTCTCTTTCGCTGTGGCTAACATCTGGAAGAAATGTGTGTTAGAGTCTTGTTACATTAGTTGCTTTAAAAAGTCTTGCAACAAAATCATCCAACTGAACACCTATGTATTTAAGCATGGGAATCACCCTGACTCGATCCAAGGAAATGTACAATAAAGTAGAGTTCGGCTTAATGAGGCCAATTGCTACTATAAATTATCTTGAAACCTCTTCACTTATTTGCCCTGAGACCATGTGTTACAAGAGCGCCAAGTGTACGTCATTACAAATAAAACAAATTGTTTAAAGTGCTTCCACGTGAACCTTTAAGAACTAATCTGAAATTGCTTTGACAACAGATCCGGGAGCTTGAAACCGAACTGGAGACTGAACAGCGAAGGAGCAGTGATGCTCAGAAAGGTGTGCGTAAGTATGAACGGCGCCTCAAGGAGCTCACCTATCAGGTAAGGCACTTGCTTCCCCACACCTGATATTCAGCCGTCAGTCACTCTCTGTTTTTATATGTTGTTTGACCCTTTTTGACTTGAACCATTTGGGTTGATCGTTTTGTACTTGTAATCAATACAGTCAGAGGAGGACAGGAAGAACTTGACAAGAATGCAAGACCTTATTGACAAACTGCAACTCAAAGTGAAGAGCTATAAGCGGCAGGCAGAAGAGGCTGTGAGTGGTATTGTTACGTTACAGCTAGGGTTGCGCCAAAGATTAAGGTGCGACAGAGTCCTTTAAAGCTAGAGCCAACTTAACAAATAACAGTTGCATAATTCCTTTATGTGACATTTTGGGGAAACGAGTGGAGGAAATTCCTCAAACATAACATGAGTTTGTTTCGGTCAGCTCTCGTAAGAATCAGTGAATAATGAAGGAACTGAAAATAATAGCAAATAGTAGATTGGGAAATACTTTGCTTTTATTCGTCTCATACTCCAGATCAATTTTATCTTGACAATTTGCTTCCAAAATTATACAGACAGCTGAACGGTCCATATTAACAGAGTCCTTTTAGGCATCAGTGAAAATGAATCTGATGTTTAATCTATTTGACAGGACACGTCAATTGTTTGTTTCTCCCAAGAAAACATATCTCTACAGGACGTTGCTCTACGCAAATTGGCTGCTGCTTTGGCCTATAAAATACGCAGCCACCACATTTTACAGTAAATCCCAGGAAGCGCTTTGAGATGTGAAATAATAATATATAATAATCCTTGCATTTGATATGGCGCCTTATTTATCATGTCTTCGAGATGTCTCAAAGCTCTTCATAGAATAAACTGCAAAGTGAATTGACTGTATATTTTGTGAGCAAACCGTGGCAACCAATTGTGCATAGCAGCGTCCCACAAACAACCGTGGATCGATTGACCAATTTATTATTATTATTTGATGTCAATTGCGCGATTGCAAATGCAACAATAATTTCCATTGTTATTTCCATGAACTGAAGTAAATCTGCCCTTCTGATCTTGTTAAACAGGAGGAACAAGCCAACACTAACATGACCAAGTACAAAAAACTGCAGCACGAGGTAGAGGAAGCTGAGGAGAGAGCCGAGGTCGCTGAATCTCAGGTCAACAAGCTGAGAATCAAATCCAGGGACTGCTTTGGCAAGGTCTGAATGGTTTACACTTCTATGAATTTATTGCTTTACAATACATAGAAACGTTTAAAAGATAATATACAATTCTTTGATACTTCTGTTACTTACTTTATTACAATATTTATTTTTCTGTAGACTATCAACAAAGAATAACCCGTGGGACTTTTTCAACATGTAATCAATGCAAAACTGCAGGAGTGTGTTTTTTGCTAGAAACTGCATGCTTTACCTTAGTTAAAGGGGCAATGTGAAATACATTGCACCTTCCATAGTACATGGATGTAAGGCAATAAAGGTTTGACCACTCTCAAAGGTTGTTTTCTCAATTGATCCAATTGTATCACAGTGAAATCAAAATAAATCATGTTATATGTATAAAATTTATTGATTTGGAGAGCATATTAATTGTTCATTGGAGTTCAGAAAGATTGAAGATATTCTAGAAAAAAATTCTGTAGTAATCAAAGCAGTTCAAACTTTAAATTGTTTTTTAAATTGCATGAATTTATAGTCAAATATGTGGTGTCAAATTTATCTCTTATGGGTGTGGTGATTATCTGGAAATAGGCCGTGACGTCTGTTCAAATTGTTTAACTGTACATTACTCAATAATTGCTCTGTACAGTTGAGCATTCCGAGCTCCATTCCTGGAAGCCTGACCAATAAGATATTTCATTTTGCATTCTGCATTTGCTTTCGATACTCTTAAGACTAAATTTGGGGTGAACTTCTGGTCTCTGTTCCTCCTCCTTTTAGGATATGTTTGTCAATGGCTGCTACATCCTAGCTAAACTATATACTGTGCTTAATCCTCATCTCCTAACTCACAAATACCCACCTTCATTCTCTTTAGTAACACCGGCTACAAAATACATGGTCAGTACATTTTTACTACAAAGCCCTTTGAGTCAATCTTCCAATATGAAAGTTGCTATATCAAATGCAAAGATTATTATTAATAGGTCTGACCTGGAGATTAGTCCTCACACTTCACTTTACAGTAAAATTATGTGAAGATGTTTGAGATGTTTTGACAATGTGATGAATCACCATATCAAAAGCAAGGATTATTAATATTGTTTTTTGTTGTGTCGTTTAAGCTGCAGAATTTTGCACAAAATTGCTCCTTTAATTAGACTTTTTTCCCATTTTGTATGTTTTGTTTGAGGACAGAATTTTTTTAATAATAATGCTAAGCAATTCATCAGCAATGTCTAGTACTCTTTCCCCCCCATCCCCCCAACCATGCATTTATACATTGCATTCATATTAGAAAACAGTTAGACTTATTTTAAACAAAAACAGAAGTTGCTGGGAACACTCAGCAGGTCAGGCAGCATCTATGGAGAAAGGAAAGTGAGTCAACGTTTCGGGTCCACGACGGTTCTGATGAAGGGTCGATTCGAAGAGAGAAAGATTCTCCCAGTGTTCTGGCCAACATATCTCCCCATTAAAATTGGTCACTCACTCAATAGCTGTTTGAGGGACAAAACTTGTGCAAATTGACTGCCGTGTTGTGCCCATAAAATAAAAAACAATCATTCCACTTTACAGTATATCCTGTGAAGCATTTCGAGACAGTTCAACAACATGATAAGGCATTATATATCAAATGTAAGGATTATTAATATTATTTTGTAGAGCAATTATAACTTGGCGTTGTTTAGCATTCTCACCCAGTGCCCAATGTATTAAATTAGTATAGCAGAATGCAAGGATTACCAGTTCGACAGTGACATTAAAGAGTGAAAAACTGTGGAAAAAACTGTGAAAAAATCCTAAACCAAGATTGAAAGAATTTGGCTCAGAGTAAGTAAAATGTCAATGGTTTCTGTCAAAGTAAGTCTAGGATTTGCCGCAGTGCAAATGTGCAAGTCTTATACTAACTCAAACTGTAGATCAGAACTCAACATACACAGTATTCATCAAATGGAAGGATGGTGGAGTTTCAAACCTACCGAGTGAACATATTGTATCCTCAAACAAAATTAAAAGTTAACTTTGACAAAAATAAAGTGAGATGATTTGAGAAGATTAAATTGTGCCTAAACATACGATTTTGCACAGATAACTCAGATCTAACCAGAAGATAAATATAGGAAATGGCTGAGTCTAGTCAGCAATTTAGGGTTAAGTGAATTGTCAGCTGGTAACCACTGACTATAAGCATCTGTTTGCAGCTTTTAAATTGAAACTCGTTCAGATAGTTTAGAACAAAAATATTATTCACCATTTAATTTCCTGTCCCGAGTGCAAACATAAAGGAAGACAGATCTTTTTAAAGTGATTGACGTCACAGACTATCTATCTCTAAAACTAAATTGCATCGCAAAAATCTCTCACTTCACTACTGAAAATGCAAGCAAGAAGATGCAAGGAACTGAAAGCCCGTTTCCTACAACAATTCTAGTTTGACGAACGTTTTTGCAGAGCGTTATTTTGAAGGAAAATTGATGATCAACTTTCCTTGTGCATTCTTTTCTTTTGTGAAAACTGACTATGAAGGCAGAATACAAGCAGCATTGACAGAGGAGCTGTGCTACAGGAGGAATCCATTGTTGTTTCTCTTTCTTTCTTGGAGGTAAAATTAACATTGGGTTTTAAAACAGAAAATACTATATTACTACAATATAATATTATAATACTGTATAATAATAATGCTTGCTTTTCATATAGCGCCATTCACATTGGGATGGTGTCTCAAAATGCTTCACGCGATTTACTGCTAATTGTAGTGGCTATGTGTTTTGTAGGCAAATGCGGCAGCCAATTTGCACATCGCAATGTCCTCCAAACACCCATGAGGTGAGTGATCAGTATTGTGTAGACGAACACAGCAGGCAATTTGCGCAACAGTGTCCAAGAAACAGCAATGAGTTGAATGACCAATTTTATCTGAGGGAATTCTTGGTGAGGACCCCAGGAGAAACTCCCTTCTCTTTTCAAAAAGCGCCATTGGATCTTTAACATCCCCCCGAAAAGGAAGCCGAGACCTCTTTTTTTAATCTTATTCAAAGAAGCAAAACAGCATTGTGTTGAACTGTCAGCCTAGACTGTGAGCTCCAAGTCCTGACATGCGGCTGAAACCTACAACCTCCCGACTCAGAGGCGAGAGTGCTGCCAACTGAGCCAGACTATATTGTAATACTGTAGTATAATTTTTAGAGAGTTTTGTGCTTCGCATTGGTGGCTGGATTTCAAAGATACGGAATTAAATATTTTTGCATCATTTGCAACGGAGGGTTGATTCACAATTTGTCTGTCAATTTTCTGACCTTGGCAGCCGATGATGGCTGATTTTTCACCGATGTACCATTGTGAGCTTAGGATTGGACTTTCGCTATTGTATTATAAATTCCTGCTACCAAGAACTGTTTGCTGTTCGCAAATTGGCTGCCGGATTAACCCACACAAAAAAATGTCACTGCACTTTACAAGTATATCCTGTGAAACACTTTGAGGTGGGTTCCTGTGCTTTACCAAATAGAACAATTATTATTATTACATTGACTGACCTGCAGGGGAAAACGTACATTCACCCTCCAAGAACTATAGAGAATCGACGATTCTCTAATCAGACAATTGGAGAATTGGCTCAGAGTGTAATAACAATAATTCTTACATTTGGTGTTGGGCCTTTCACATCAGGAGTAAGTCCCAAAGAGCTTCACAGGACATACTGTAAAGTGGTGTGGCTTTGTGTTTTATGGGCTAATTCAGCAGCCAAATTTGCTATAATATACATATATATGATAGTACTATATATGATACGCAGCATTATACTTGTTCAGCTAGGATTGCTTCAGCTAATAGGACTTTGGTTTGCAGGATAAAGGGCACTTCCCCGGTTGGGGAGAGGAGCGAAAGAGGGCAGGAGACTCCTTGGGGCTGAACAAGCTCCAAGGTTGCGTGTTCACCAACAAAATGGCAGAATCGAGTCAACCCTCGGTGGCAATCTTGCTAATTCAGTTCCTTGGTAGCTTGGATCCTTACTGGGTTGAAATCATTATCTATCTCATGCACTGGTTCGATTATTTCCCGGAATCTCAAAGACTTCTGGAACTTCTTGCCTTCCCTTTCTCGCATGATCTACGGGCTTTTTAAAAACCAAAGCGCAGAATCACTGAATCACTTCTTGGCACACCTCGATTTCTCCACTAAGGGGTTTAACCTTGTTGTTAGACTGCACTATGGGCCTTGACTTTTTATCGAGGTTCTACAACTTCCATTGTTCACAACTGACTTTACACTGTAAACATTGGTGCCACTTCCATGGGAGTATCTGATGAAACGTTTCATAAATTACTGTGATAGCAACGTTAAAGCAAATGTGGAATTAAAAAGGAGCATTTAAACTCAGGTGACCACAACAGAACCACTGATCAGACTTGCCTAGTCCAGTGTGGTCTAACCACCGTACATAATAATGTAATGAAGCCACGCACTTACTTTACACAGTTGAAATAAAGCAGTAGTTTTGAAGGGCAATCAGCTTCCCTGGTGTACACACAAATGTAACTATGGAAAAATCCAATATTTGTAGTCATTTGTAGTCAGTTAAAATGCGATAGGAAAATAAAAAGTCAAAGACCTTCATCAATCAAAAACAGTGAAGCTACAACAGCCCTTCACAGCTGCTTGAACGGTTTATGGAGTCCTGCAGCTTAGTGGTTAGAGCACTTGCCGCGCAAGAGAGAGGACCTGGGTTTGATTCCCGTGCAGGGCAAAAGGTTGGACAAGTTTCCTTACTCCACACGCCTCTGTTTACCTCGCAGTACATAGGAACATGGTTGTTAGTCGAATGGTGGATTGCTTTTCCGGGAGTAATGATCCCTTCAAAAAAAAAAATAATAATTTGGTCACTTAATCCACGACTGTTTGTCGGACATTGCTGTGCGCAATTGGCTGCCGCGTTTCACCCACAAAATATACAGTCAATTCATCACTTTACAGCATATTCCATGAAGTACTTTAATCACGTTGTTGAAACGTCTCAAAGCGCTTCACAGGATATACTATAAAGTTGAATGACTGTATTTTATGGGCACAACATGGCAAAATACTCAGAGTAAAGCTGCTTTCCCACTAAGTCAGATGTTTGACAAAGCTTCTCAATTGTAACCGTTCAGAAAGGTGTCTGGGAGTGAGGGGAAGAGTGTGAGGGGAAAAGTAATAAATGAATTTAAACTCTAAATT